CGGGATCGGGTGGTCGGGCTCGCTGACTTGGTTGATGATGCATGTCATCGTTTCCCAATATTGCGTAGACCGATGTCAATCACCGTATTGTCTTACAGACTGCCGTCATTTAGCTGGACTATTGCTGAGCGTTAAACAACAACAAACAAACAAACTTATTTCTAATCAAACCGGCGATAAACCGAAGTCCGTTCAGACAAGCTTTGCCAACTCCTGACCAACAACATACGTGACCTTGTAAGCTTCAGCAGTGTACACATTTAAAACAATGGAAGATGCTTCCGCCAACTGTGGAAGACAAGTAGTAAATCCGTGGCTGGAAAGTTCATGAACTTTTACAGAGAGTAAACTAAATATTGACGAAACTTATACCTATCTATCAGGCACTCGTGAAGTCCAAACACCAGACGGCCCAGCCGTGTTACATCAAGGTGTACACAAGTATACCCGACACTCTAATATGACGGAGTCGAATACCGCCTGCATTACTTATAGCCCAACACCGAGGTCAACAGACTTGTTGTTCATTACTGACTCCTTTCATATGTGTAATATGTCGGGGATTTCATATATGTGTGATATGTACCTGTGACTCAGGGATTTCAGATGTGTGATATTACAGCGACTTCGTACATTTTTATATGTAACATTACAGAAATTCGTATATGTTATATGTACAGGTACTTCGTAAATGTAATATTACAGAGATTTCGTATATGTAATACAGCGACTTCGTAAATGTAATATTTACAGGACTTCGTATATGTAATATTACAGGAACTTCGTATACGTAATATGTTTAGGGACTTCGTATGTGTAATATGCACATGAACTTCGTATATGTAATATTACAGGGACTTCGTATACGTAATATGTTTAGGGACTTCGTATATGTAATATGCACATGAACTTCGTATATGTAATATGCACAGGGACTTCGTATATGTAATAGTACAGGGACTTCGTGTTTGTAATATGCACAGGGACTTCGTATGTATAATGTGTACATGAACTTCGTATATGTAATATGTACGCGGACTTCGTATATGTAATATATCAGGGACTTCGTGTTTGTAATATGGTCAGGGACTTCGTATATGTAATATGTACAGGAACTTCGTACATGTAATATGTACAGGGACTTCGTACATGTAATATGTACAGGGACTTCGTATGTTTAATATGTACAGGGACTTCGTATATGTAATATGTACAGGGACTTCGTACATGTAATATGTACAGGGACTTCGTATATGTAATATGTACAGGGACTTCGTATATGTAATAGTACAGGGACTTCGTATATGTAATAGTACAGGGACTTCGTGTTTGTAATATGTTCATGGAATCGAATGTAGACGAGCGAATGCGCGAACAACTGGACCTCCCGTCAACACCGATGATATCTGGCTCAGAAATGTCCGTTTTGGTGGAATATCACTATCATGATACAAATTATAATGCCGAAAGAACGGACATTCAAATCCGTCTTTTAGTAGAAAATATACAAACAACTTCATGGTGGTTGAAAATGAACCAAACTAGAAAAGGTTATTCGATTGCGATTTTTCACACGGGTGTCATATTTGTGTTTTGGACATTAAGTTTGCAGTTTTTCGGTAAAAGTAGTTATCTTTTGATAATATTTGTCATATTTGGTCAAATCCAATTTTCAATGTATACATTTTTTTGCCCGGCAGTTTATATGTCTATAAGTGTCTAAACACAGAACTGCATTTACGATCAACATTATGAACACTCGCTGACAACAGAAAATAAACGTGCTTTCCCTACTATATAGGGACTATGAGTGTAGGTAAAACACTGTTCCGATTCTATTGCAGTATGGGTATCAATATTGCAATGGTATTCCGATAGCTTGTACCTTTGCCGCTCAACAGTCTAATATGCTTGCACCAACTGACAATGCGACAAAGTCTACAAGTCCTAGCTTCAGAGTGAGTGAGTGAGTATGGTTTTACGCCGCTTTTAGCAATATTCCGGCAATATCACGGCGGGGGACACCAGAAATGGGCTTCACACAATGTACCCATGTCGGGAATCGAACCCGGGTCTTCGGCGTGACGAGCGAACGCCCTAACCACTAGGCTACTCCCCCCTATCCTCAGAAGATTGCCAGGAAATTTGTCAGGGAGTTACATCTCATTGTCTGACACTAAGTGATGAATGTTTGCAATGGATCCTAACGTCATGTGTATGAAATCGAACGGAAACGTTAATTACATGTACGGGGGCACGGGTGGCCCAGTCGCCTAAGGCGCCGCGATTCGCTGTGAAGAGTTGCGTCCCTTGGGCACGCCAGAACCTATGATTGTGGGTTCGAATCCCGGTTCGCCCCGATTATGTTTCTAGGTTTGTCAGTACCATACCCGTGCTCGTGGGTTTCACCGAAGTGGTAAATGGCTTGATGTAACTGGAATACTGTTAAAAGCGGCGTTAAACCCAACTCAATCACTCACTAATTACATGTACTTAATATTCCAACTGTTTTCGTTTATCTGCCGATATTATGTATAGACTTTGCACTAGATATTTGATTGATATTTGGATTTTGCCCTGCATATTTTGTTTAATATTACACAACATATTTTATTAATATTTTGATTTTGCACACCATTTTATGATAATTTAGATTTTGCACGGTATATGTTTTGATATTTTGATTTTGCACTGCATATGTTATTGATATTTAGAGTTTGCACTGCATATTTTATTGATATTTTGATATTGCACTGCATATTTTATTGATAATTAGATTGGTCACGCCGCTGCCCTGTATTACCTTGGACCGAGCACCGTATTGACATATGAACATACCAGCTCTCACTATAGGTGAGACGTGGACAATTAAGAGCCGGCACTATTCCACGTATTCACGGCCTGTTAAAAGCCCTTGTTGACAACTTAATGGGAGGTACCCAGACACTCCAACGGCTGATATACTTGTATATGATTATATATCAAGCTGTATTTTCAAGTAATACGTCACGTGTGAGCAGATAAAGACATTCCTGTTGAGGGTTTTCGCGTCCCCGATTGCCCCCCTTTGTGTATCTGGATGGTACAAACAGAAACATATATTCACAGAGCGAGTGCCTCTCCTGGGTACTTTTGCCAAACCAAAAGTTGTATAACATTAAGTGTTTATCTTCACTTATAAAATGCGTGTTCCAAGTCCCTAGAACTCAAGAAACCCTTGTTCCACTCCAACCAATCCTCACGTTGCTCTCGGGTCGCCTCAGTAGCCAAGGTCTACTCGCCCAGCATTGGATGGCCCCCGTTGGTATTCCGGGTTAGAATTGGCTCCCAGCAAACAAGGGCATTTAGCAGGAGCTGTAAGTTATTTAGGTTTAAGGCCGCCTTAAGAGTATTTCAGTGATATAACGACATGTCAGCTTGATGTGGGAGAAATGCGACCCAGGTCTTAAATGTTTAACCATTTGGTGAAACCCACGGGTATAGTGTTGACAAACCTGGAAACGTAATCAAGTCGAACGGGTTTCGAACCCGCGATCATAGGTTTCTGGCATGCTTTAAGGGAAGGTTCTCCACACATACCCCCGCATGGAGATCTATAAAACCCTCGTCATACCCAATAAGCACACCAAAATCATATCAAATCATGTCTTTGCTGGATTTTTAGAAGTTTTGAATTTGTTCAATGAATTTCTACAAGGTGGTTACACGTATATCAACATGAAAGTTGCGATCCTTTCCAAGAGTGAAGGGGGCACGGGTGGCCCAGTCGTCTAAGGCGCCGCGATTCGCTGTGCAGAGTTGCGTCCCTTATGCACGCCAGAAACCTATGATTGTGGGTTCGAATCCCGGTTCGCCCCGATTATGTTTCTAGGTTTGTCAGCACCATACCCGTGCTCGTGGGTTTCATCGAAGTGGTAAACGTCTGAGACCTGCATCACTTCGGGCTTTCCTCCCACATTAAGCTGACACGCCGTGATATAACTGGAATACTGTTAAAAGCGGCGTTAAACCCAACTCACTCACTCACTCACTCCAAGAGTGAACGTTAATGGTGTCCATCTTGCAAACTTTTTGCGCTTACAGAGCTATGTTTGCTGCTCGTCCGCTGTAACATTTGCACTGACAAACCATTCCTCACCACCATTGATTTATTTGCAGTAATTGGCGTTAAATTGGCCGTAGAGCATTGCCATTCGTGACGGCAACTCTGACGTGCGAGATGTCAGCGCCCAAGTATCCAATTTAGCGTTACGAGACCCAGAAAATTTGATTCGAGCTGTTGCACGGAAACATACCGTCAAGTCATCAATATTTCAGAGGCAGTCCACTCATTTGGATATAAATCACCCCATAACGGCGATATGGTCAAGATTACACGACCGGTCCAGTAAATATGGTTTCTAGACTTGAGTTGTTTCTGTCTCGACCCTGCATGAGTGAAGCTGGGATTTATACGGCGTGCGGACGTAACTAAACATGTTCATGTGTGTATTTAACCTTTTCCTCAGCTTTCGTGTCAAGGATAGTACCTCATTTGTATGTACGTTTAATTAGTTATCGCGTCAAGTTGCATGTTACATCAAATATCACTTGAAACGTCTTAAACATGCATTGAATGTTTGTTCTTTGGGCCGGCGTTTTCTCAAGGAAACATTTAGGTCAGTCTTATTATGACGTAATTATCTTCTTCTTGAACAGTCCTAACACCTGTTTGTGAACCTGCACTGACACATTCCTGTAGGTGTTGCTATAGGTTCTACTTTGTCGACTGCCTTGGGGTCTAAAACAATGACCATACGTTTCCAGTACAGAGGGCCCAAATTGGGTGATTTGGATCTACTCATTGTTTCTTTTCAATGACAAATCTACGATTGTAACTGAAAACTATGAAGTCAACCATTTTTATTTCAGAATCATTTAAGCCTGATGGATTCGAAGAATGATTCCTGACTTGAGAATTAATATGACTGAAATATTAACGTCATGTTGTTGTTTTTCAGGTGTAGAACGGAGGTAGCACTGTGGTAAGAATTTAAGCAGCCATGTCCAGTCGGAAGACACTTCCCGGGATGACGAGTCATTCCATCACGAGGTCAGAGTTTGAGGACGGGATATTAAGAGACAATGCGAGGTTTGACAACAGACTAAACAATGAGAAACGACACGTAGAAAAGGCTAAGCGGGTTGTGGTTCGTGAGTATGACAAGGAGAGCCAGATGCTCAAACAAAAAATGGCGTCTGCTGCTCAGAGGAAAGCTACGTCGTACTATAGTCAGACATCTGTTCCGAATGGGACAACTGGGAAGAGTTCGGGGTCAAGGGTGAATACCGGTCGTTCGACCAGACTTATACCTGACTACGAGTATAAACAGTACAGGTTGCGACAGAATAGCGACCAAAACGATGTCGTAAAGCAGACGACAATTGAAACAAAGCCTGAAAAGACATCGAAGGTAGCCGACGACCCACCGCAACAACAAAATGACGCCGATGTGACAGATGGAAAACACGAAGCGAATGGAAAAACGGATTTTGATCTTCCAGACGAGTACGTTTCTACAAGACGGACACGACCCCCTGAAAATTTCTGGTCTAACCTCAGTGCCCCTAAACACCATTCAACCGTTCGCAATGTTAGGGAAAGACTGGCTAAAGAATTCGGCAAACCTAAGTCCAAGCCTTCATCCCAAAGGCCAAATGGTACGGGGCGCCTGCCATTGGTGCAGGGGACACGTATGGATAAAAAGTGATAGCTAAAACAATGTGAATACCATTATTTAGTCAACATACGGTGGCACTACCTCCAGCAGTTCAGCTGAAGCTGTAGCGTACTTCAAAGCGGTTGTGGATATATGTGTATCCGAGCATGGTGTTTTTGCTGGCGATGCCAGACTCTAGTTGCGATGGTTACGGTGACAGTTTCTCGATCCGGACACGTGTGAGGTCGGCATGTCTTTGGAAGGACATTCACGGAGCCCATACACGAACAGTAGGTGGAGGGGGCACTAAGGGGAGATAATCCACTCTCTAGGACTAATGATATTGTGCACTGAAAGAATGTCAAGATAAGTGCGTTTTTCGAAATGCTAACACGGGAGTACATCAAACTGCGCCTTCACATAAACAGTCGCTGTGGAAAGAAGACGCGTGAAAACAATATGTCTAAATGCCTTTAAGAAAGGTGTGCTTGCTGAAAAAATCCTATTTGTGAATTGGTGTTTTGAAGGAAAACGGATTTCTTGTTATGTTATTTCGTTGTCCATTATATCTTTGAATTATTGTTTTGGTCTAAAATGGGCTATGTATACGATAGTCTTAGATCAGAAGTTCTCATTAGGTCTAGCAGAATGTACTAAGCGATATATATTTTTTATAAATTTAGCACTTGATTTATTGATTAAAATAGTGCAATCACAATAAATTATTCCATTCAAATCTAGATTAAATGTTTTTTACTATCTGTCTATACACCGCCAATACTACGACAGCGTTAAGTAATCAAATCCGAGACCGTTAGCTGTTAGCATAAGAAACGGTTCCTCACTGGTGTCGGCATACACGCATAGACCACCTACATGGTCTAGTGGACAGAACGTCTGTCCGGAGAGCGGAAGGTCGGTTGATCGATCCCCGGCCGCGTCATACCAAAAGACGTTAAGAGATTGTACTTGAAACCTTGCCTGGCGCTCGCCATTTAAGGCGGATAAAACAAGGCCCGGTCGGCACGGAATACTGTGTTTGTGTGGGGTAACCATGTTAAACTGTGGCATGGGCTCATTGGGTTAGCACTATAAAACCTACACACGTTCATGCACGTCGCTATATAAGTGCAATAAGGTTAAACAAAATTTCACCTCGCCTCTTACAGGCCTAGGTACTGTCCCCAACCCGTGTAGATCCGGGTTAGAATTGGTCTTCAGAAACCCATGGACCGCCTTCGTGGTCTAGTGGTACAGCGTCCGACCGGAGAGCGGAAGGTCCGGGGTTCCATCCCCGGCCGCGTCATACCAAAAGACGTTAAAAGATGGTACTTGTTGTTACCCTGCCAGGCGCTCGGCATTAAGGGGCTAAAACAAAGACTGGTCGGCTCGGAGTCAGTGTGCTGTGTCTGAGTGGGGTATTCATGTTAAACTGCGGCATGGTATCTCAGTGAGCAAGCACTATAAATCGGCATCATTCCGGACTAGCACAAAAAGCCACACACACACACACACACACACACACACACAATAATCTTGGGCGCGACGTTAAACCCAATTTCACCTAACCTCAGAAACCCATGTCGTAATCGTAAGAGGCGACGAATGAGATCGGGTGGTCAGGTTCGCTGACTTGGCATTGTATCCCATATGCGTAAATCGCAGCTCAAGGTGATAAAACTAAATTTTCCGGTCCAGATTCAATTATTTCGTAATGTAGCTGGAATACATTAAACAACAAACAAAAATAACACTGGAGTCTCTTTCGTCCCTGGAACCTACAGGTGACGTGACCTCGCAGTTTACAGGATCAACAGGAGGTATTCTGTGCATGCCCATGCATTTCCCCACAAATTCTGTGTCAGCTCTCTCCGGCAAGTTTAAATATCCCAAACGGTGAGGGTAAAGGGGGTTTTAATTCATGTTCAGTTTTATTTCACTTACATAACGGCGTTCGTGTGTGTATGTATGGCTGCTTGTACTAGTCAAGATTAATGCCGGTGTTATACTGCTGGTCCACTAAGATACCATGCCGCAATTTAACATGGATACAGCACTCAGACACTCAGACAGACTCTGAGCCGACCAGTCCTTGTATCGAACCACCGATAATCCGTTCTTCGGGCACTCTATCCATACACCACTCTGCTCCACTGTCATCATCTTCCGGTGGCAAAGGTGTTAACTGACTTTATTAAGTCAGTAAACATCTTTGCCGGGAAGATGCACTATCGTTGGTACAGGCTACCCTACTGGCCCACAACTGGCCAGACAGTTGTTGGATCAAAATTCTCAAAGGATGAGTTCGTTGAACTTTATCAGAGAGTGACCTAAGTAATTGAATCTGGTTCAGACAAGCCAATGATTGGCATAATGAGCAGCGTCCCAGGCCGTTGGGTACCATGACATGGAATCTACCAAGTCAACGAGTCTGACCAGTTTGCCTCTCAACAGGACGTTGCTGCGGAATGACATCTGTGTATAGATCGAGACAATTCATCCATACAGCCGCATCCTAAATAACATTTATAAAGTTACAGTCGCCAAGTAAAACAAAACTTTTTCTCATTTGGTGATGACTGATTAATAAGAGTTTTATATTTACTTTTATTCGCTTCTGGTACATCTCAGCCATGTAATATCAAACACACACACACACAAACAAAACAAGATATTTATTATAAGCTGCCAAGGATCATGTGACACATCTCTAAGCCCTGTTAGATGTGGGTGTGGTAAGCCCTACTGAACAATGGCATCTGACATCCTACCTTTAAACTAAGTCAGTGAGTGATTTAACTCCGCCTATCTGTATTTACGTTACATCACAGCCTGATGTTAGAGTAAAACCCCAAGTGATGCAGATCTTAGAAGTTTATCATTGTTGTGAAACCCGAATACCAATAATCAAAATAGGTGTCGTGCGGCTTACAGACTTGGACTCACATCTTCACACCTTCTCCAGGCATAACACAGCAGTGATAGCAGCACAGACAACCATGAAATGGTGTAAGGGACTATTTTAATAATATGCTGACCCCCATAGTGTATGTACATTTTTGCATGCCACTTCCCCCCACCCTACCTCTCACTAATTCATGTAACAGTTTTTCATGACACTCTACCCCCTATAAAGATGACAAGCCTCTAAATAATGTTCAAATTTATAACTTTTTTATATGAAGATAATACAATTGTGTCATTTTTACATAACCTTTCAATATAGTTGTGATACATTTCGTCAACCCCACCTTTGGGGGACACCAATATAAACATGTACACATCAGGTCTTAGTGACTTTAAGTGAGTGAGTGAGTATGGTTTTACGCCGCTTTTAGCAATATTCCAGCAATTTCACGGCGGGGGACACCAGAAATGGGCTTCACACATTGTACCCATGTCGGGAATCAAACCCGGGTCTTCGGCGTGATGAGCGAACGCTTTAACCACTAGGCTACCTGACCGCCCCTAGTGACTTTAAGACAAACTACACAGTGTGCATGTGTCTTAAAGATACTTTTCAGGGAGCGGAGATAAAGTGACAAAAACCATCTACTGGTCCGTCAAATGCAATTATTGCAATCAACACACATGACAAAGCTTGTACATGTTCTTGAAGATAATGAATATAAGAGAAAATGTATTTGATGACAGAATAATCAACTTGTTTCCGACTCAGTCTGGGTCCTCCAACTCCTGAAGCACCTGCATGTTGATGTCGTCTATATCAGCCTCCTCCCGATCCTCCTCGGCCACAGGCGCCTCTTCCAGCTCATTCACCTGCGACACAACACCAACTGAGACAGACTCATACACATGAAACATTCCACTAATATCACGGCAGCCTGTAATTAATCAGGTGGCACACCAGTGGTTGGTACTAGGAGCAATTTCCTGTGCTGTTGTGTCACGATGACATGCAATCAACCAAGTCACCAAGCCACACCACCTGATCCATTAGCTTTTCACGACCAGGGCCTAGATTTTCGAAACGATCTTAGCCCTAAAATTATCGTAAAGTTATCGTAAAGAAATCGTAGGCTATTGTAGCCTATTTTCGAAACTATCGTAGCCCTAAGATATCTTAAGTTTGTCGTAAATCTAAGATAGCCCTATACCTGTCGTAAGTTTATTTTATCCTCATCCAAGATGGCGGTATAATTTGCTCTGGACATTTTTCATGATGAAGATGACAATGATTTGATGACAAGACCGAGGATATTCCGAGACAGAACTCGTCCCCTCGATACGCTTGACGACTTCAAGCTATTCTCCCGCTACAGATAGGTGTCGTAGCTCTGAGCGATCTGCGACAGGTTTACGATTGTTTCGAAAATCTATCTTATCTTAGTATTAAGATATCTTATCTTTGAACGTAAGTAGATAAGATTTATCTTAGCTAAGATTGTTTCGAAAATCTAGGCCCAGGATCCCAAGGCAAGGGCCTTGCTTGAAACTGGACTTTTACAGTCAGTTAACATCAGGGAAGATGTTTACGACTGGCATAGAACAGATAGGTTATTGTGGACCAATTCTTTGGGACTTCCAGGTGTTCTCTTGGTGAGTAATTCAGCAAAATGACGATGGTGGACACCAAATGTAACCAAGTGAGGATTTTGAATCTGAGTATTTAGCATGCCATGCGCTGCACAAAGCTATCTTAACGCAACGAATATCATAAATCTGTGTCAACACTACGAATATCGTAAATCTCTGTTAATCTACTGGAATTTCCGATAGTCGTAGTGCTCACATTGTGCAATGCAGCCCATTGTCATCCAGCGTGACGAGTGAACTTTTACTTGTACTCAAATCTAATGTTTAACATAGTAGTAGAGATGGTTTGCAGAAGCATATGCATAATGGAAGCAAAAGGGTATGTGGGTGGAAGATTCTGATGTGGCTTTGATAATTTACTAGCATTACTAATTAACTTCCACAATTGTTAAAAATCAAACACCTTACAACAGATGTTACTCAACGTGAGCAAACAGGTCACAGTGTTTTCAGGCCAGTTGTTATGTGCCACGAAGTTTGTTAGGTGGTATGTGGATTAAAATTCATTCAAGATTATTGCACCTATGTACCAATGTGCATGCATGTGTATACTCATTTCTGTTAGTACTAGTCTGAACTTTTGTTGCTTTAAACTTCTGACATACCAAGTTATCACTGAGAAAACATGGATACTCCACTCGGACATCCAGAGCCAAGCAGTTCTCGTTTTAATCCTATAATGACTGGCGCCAGGCAGGGTAACAACAAGTATAATTTTTTAATGGCTTTTGGAATAACAAGGGGATCAAACACCTCCACTCTCCAGGCAAACATGGAGGCAGTCTGAATTTTGACAGCAAACAAAACAAAAAAATAACACAATGAAATCTACTTAAATGCAGTAAAAGCAAACTGAACAAGCAATGCATCTTCTGCAAATTACAAACCTTGAATTCCTAAACATCCCAAAAATTAAATACATTGCAATACGTAAGCCATCTACAAAATCCTTGAGCAACCATGTCATGAAAGTGCAATCATTGAGTCCATAAGACACAAACCTTAAGTAACTGTGCCTCATCTACCATGTTGTCCCTGAGGATCTGGTCAGTCCGAGTGGTGTTGACCTCCACCGACACCTTCCCGTTGGACAGGGAGATGATCACTAGTTTGGAGAATGCATGTTCCATTGCCCGCCTGTGTGCTGTCTTCTGGACTTTCGCCAGCACCCCTCCTTGACTTGCAACGTCTATAATCAGGAAGCATGGTTGGGTATTAATCTACATACCTCAAATAAACTTTGAAAGATCACAAAGCAATAATTTTCAATTGTTTTAGTCATTCTTAAAAAGCACAGATTATTCCTATAGTGATGAAGGTAATCACTTTCTCATTGTTAGAAGCATTAGCGAGTAGAAGTCTTTGAGATTTACAGGCAGTCAGGAGACAGCTAAGTGTGGCAAGTAAAAACATTTAATTTTTTGAATTAAAACATTTTATGGCTTACCAGTTTTAGAACACGTTTCCTCCCAGGCACCAACTCCATCACAAGACAGATTCTGATTGGTCAGATCAAGTCTTACACTACAGAAGTACTTGATCTTCTTGAGGTCACCACCAGGTTGTACGCACTCCTTGTCTTCCTCCAACTGAACAAACGGTTACATCAGTCCCTATATACCACATCTGTCCATCACATATCCCACTTCAGTCCATTACATATATACCACATCTGTTCATCACATATCCTACATCAGTCCATTACATATATACCACATCTGTTCATCACATATCCTACATCAGTCCATTACATATATACCAAATCTGTTCATCACATATCCTACATCAGTCCATTACATATATCCTACATTATAGCTTAAATGGATAGAATTATCATTAAATTGCCCGCAGGTTATCAAAAATGAGCGGGCCACTGTAACATATTGCTTGATGACGAGCCATTATCACACCCATTGCTAGGTGACGTCATAGGATAGGTATAGGTGACGTCACGTTTGATAGTGACGTCATCTGGTTTGTTCTATGACGTTTCCATATTTGTAAAAGTGGGTCAGTGACATTCGTGTTGATTGCAGTAAATGTTCCAAAACCGATAATGGTGGGTTTTTTTATTTGATAACAAATTCCATCCATTTTTAGCTATTATAATGGTAACGCAATTTTTCAGGGCATTATCATTTACAGAAACCCTCGGTCTTTTTTAATGAAAGTCCTGAGGCTTCTGCAAATGATAATGCCCTGAAAAATAGCATTACCCTTATATCAGTCCATTACCTATATACCACATCTGTCCATCACATATCCCACATCAGTCCATTACATATATACCACATCTGTCCATCACTTATCCTACATCAGTCCAACATATATCTCACATCAGTCCTTCACATATATCCCACATCAGTCCATCACATATATCTCACATCAGTCCATCACATATATCTTACAACAGTCCATCACATATTTCCCACATCAGTCCTTCATATATACCCCACATCAGTCCTACACATATATCTTACAACAGTCCATCATATATATCCCACATCAGTCCACCACATATATCCCACATCAGTCCTTCACATATAACCCACATCAGTCCACCACATATATCCCACATCTGTCCTTCACATATAACCCACATCAGTCCACCACATATATCCCACATCAGTCCTACACATATATCCCACATCAGTCCATCATATATATCCCACATCAGTCCTACACATATATCTTACAACAGTCCATCATATATATCCCACATCAGTCCCTTACATATATACCAAAACAGTCCATTGCATATATCCCACATCAGTCCACCACAAACATCCCACATAAGTCAATCACATATTTCCCACATCAGTCCACCACATATATCCCACATCAGTCCTTCACATATAACCCACATCAGTCCACCACATATATCCCACATCAGTCCTTCACATATATCACACATCAGTCCATCACATATATCTCACATCAGTCCATCATATATTTCCCACATCAGTCCACCACATATATCCCACATCAGTCCATCACATATATCTCACATCAGTCCATCACATATATCTTACATCAGTCCATCACATATTTCCCACATCAGTCCTTCACATATATCCCACATCAGTCCATCATATATATCCCACATCAGTCCTACACATATATCTTACAACAGTCCACCATATATATCCCACATCAGTCCACCACATATATCCCACATCAGTCCATCACATATATTCCACATCAGTCCATCACATATATCCCACATAAATAAGTTTTTTAATTACAATCTCCGGACTCTGAATGGCTTAAACGATGCTGCTGTGGGGATTAATTTAAACATGCTCACTCATTCTTAATAAGTACTCAAACATAATTTTTTCTGAAGAATATCCCTTTAATGCTTTTAGTCTTTAGGCTACCCAGTGAGTCTAGTGTCTTGACAAGTACAGTACTCACTATCTGAATGTTGCTGGACCAGCCATTGAAACCTAGATAGTAGCTGGCTAGTTCCTGACACTTGGCCAGGAAGAGAGTAGTGACCTGGTTATCTCCCTTTCTTCTCTTTGCAAATGCAACCTGCACAATGTGTGAAACAAAGACAAAACAACAAGCTTTAAAAACATATGACAGCATGAATAGAAGTATCTTGAAACTAGCACACTGGGATGCATAGCATTACTTAACTGTTAAACAATTTAGAAAAAGATATGTCATTAAATAATGCTTGAGACCACAAAAAATGCAATTTTAACATACTGTAAGAAGTATTCTTAGACTTTACATTTTCTTTCTACATTTACAATTTTAAAAATCATGTTGTTGTATTGTCTCAAGTGATTGGGTATTGTGTTTAAGGGTGATAAGGTATTGTGTTTAGGGGTGGTTGGGTATTTTGTGGCTAGGGGTGGTTGGGTATTGTTTCTAGGGAGGATTGGGTGTTGTTTTTAGAGGTTGTTGGGTTGGGTATTGTGTTTAGGGGTGTTTTGGGTATTGTGTGGCTAGGGGTTGTTGGGTATTGTTTCTAGGGAGGACTGGGTATTGTTTTTAGAGGTTGTTGGGTTGGGTATTGTGTTTAGGGGTGTTTGGGTATTGTGTTTAGGGGTGTTTGGGTATTGTGTGGCTAGGGGTGGTTGGGTATTGTTTCTAGGGAGGATTGGGTATTGTTTTTAAATAGAGGTTGTTGGGTTGGGTATTGTGTTTAGGGGTGTTTGGGTATTGTGTTTAGGGGTGTTTGGGTATTGTGTTTAGAGGTGTTTGGGTATTGTGTGTTTAGGGGTGGTTGGGTATTGTGTTTAGTGGTAAATGGATATTGTGTTTAGGGGTGGTTGGGTGCTGTGTTTAGGGGTGGTTGGGTATTATCTCTTGGGTGGTTATTATATAAAACGAATATGTATCCAACAATCCAACATTTTCATACATCAAAATGACAACTCAGAGTCACATTCAACACAGTTTCATCTTGTTTAGAAACTTTACTATATTGTTCTTTGTATCTCTGTGTGCGTGTTAAACCTGCAATAAAAATTAACAGCGAAAGAAATAATTAAAAACTCATGAAATATCTTACCAATTTTTTACAACAAAAACAATTTATTCCAAGAATAAACATTGTACCTTGCAGGTACTGCTTCCAATAGACAGCCTGTTGTTCTGCTCCTCCTTAGCTCTCAAGGCTGACCTGTACGAGTAGAACTTAACAAAGGCATAATACCCAGGGGATTCATTAACTTGACGCCCAGCATTGCATCCTGTAGCGGGGAAGACCTGCACTTCATACAGCAGGCCATACTTGGAGAAGGTTCTGTAAAGCAGGTCCTGAAATATAAACATCAGGTCAGGGTGGACAGTGGTCGGGGACCTGGGAGAGCTGAACATCAGGTCAGGGTGGACTGTGGTCAGAGCCCTGTGGGAGCGGAACATCAGGTCAGGGTGGACAGTGGTCAGGGACCTGGGAGAGCAGAACAACAGGTCAGGGTGGACAGTGGTCAGGGACCTGGGAGAGCTGAACATCAGGTCAGGGTGGACAGTGGTCAGGGACCTGGGAGAGCAGAACATTAGGTCAGGGTGGACAGTGGTCAGGGACCTGGGGGAGCGGAACATCAGGTCAGGGTGGACAGTGGTCAGGGACCTGGGGGAGCTGAACATCAGGTCAGGGTGGACAGTGGTCAGGGACCTGGGGGAGCTGAACATCAGGTCAGGGTGGACAGTGGTCAGGGACCTGGGAGAGCTGAACATCAGGTCAGGGTGGACAGTGGTCAGGGACCTGGGAGAGCTGAACATCAGGTCAGGGTGGACAGTGGTGAGGGACCTGGGGGAGCCGAACATCAGGTCAGGGTGGACAGTGGTCAAGGATCTGGGGGAGCAGAACATCAGGTCAGGGTGGACACTGGTGAGGGACCTGGGGGAGCCGAACATCAGGTCAGGGTGGACAGTGGTCAAGGACCTGGGGGAGCTGAACATCAGGTCAGGTTGACAGTGGTGAGGGACCTGGGGGAGCCGAACATCAGGTCAGGGTGGACAGTGGTCAAGGACCTGGGGGAGCTGAACATCAGGTCAGGGTGGACAGTGGTCAGGGACCTGGGAGAGCAGAACATCAGGTCAGGGTGGACAGTGGTCAAGGACCTGGGGGAGCAGAACATCAGGTCAGGGTGGACAGTGGTCAGGGCCCTGGGGGAGCGGAACATCAGGTCAGGGTGGACAGTGGTGAGAGATCTGTCTGAGGAGAACATGTATGACATGATAAAATTCCTCGTGGGAAAGTCGGAGTTGTAAATAGTTTGCATGTTGACCAAAAGTACATACAATTGTCTTTCTTTTGGAAATGCTGCTTCTGAGTCCCAATATCTGTTCTATCTTTCAATATCTAAAAGGGTTATGTTTTATTTGATTCAGCAAACAAACAATGTGTTTTTAAAAAACAACTTAAGTCAATCATGCTGGGGCAGGTTGAGGGTTTAATGTTCAAGTTTATTGCACTTATATAGTGATTTGCATGTATGTGTGTGTGTGACATTGCATTCAAGATCATTGCACTAATATACAGCGACATGCATGCAATTGTGTATGTGTGGCTGCTTGTGCCAGTCCAGAGTGATGCCGAATTATAGTGCTAGCCCACTGAGATACCATGCAGCAGTTTAACAAGGATATCCCACTCAGACACAGTATATTGACTCCGATTTAAGCCGACCATTCTTGAGTTATCCCTATTACAGAGTGCCAGACAGGGTAACAACAAGTAAGCCTACTATGTCTTTTGGTATAATGCATCCGGGGATTGAACCACCAACCTTCCAGCAGACGGCAGACACTCTATCAAACAGACAATCTTACTGGGAGTGTGCATGCTTAGCAAGCACATCTTTAATTAATCACAAACTGTTCATGTTATCAATAATTACCCTTACCAAATGATGCCATAAAACAACTAGATGTATATGATTGATGCAGAGACCATAAAACAAATAAATCTATTTTATGGTCTTTTATTGACGTCATAAATACTCGTTATACTTGCTATTCTTTCTCTTACATAAACAAGGAGCTCATCTTGTGTTGGAATGTTGGTCACAAACAAGTTCTTTCTGTTACATGTTGGAATTGCAAACTCAATTATTTCAATATTCATTGTTTATCCTCCCGCTAGAGCTGCGTGCTTCATTGGTGAATTAATTACATCTCATAAGCTCATCGGTCGAATTCCCCAAATGTGTCCATCCCTTGCTAGAGTTTGATTTACTTTTCAAAACAGCCGCTTAGACAAGTACTACTTTCTAAATGACGTATTCTAATATATGACACAAATAAATAAGTAAATGATAATAAACAAACATTTTTGTATTTTTTTTAATGTTTTCTTTTTAATACGTGGTACGTATGTATTTTTGTTATTTTGACAATTTATATTTGTACGTTTTCAGAAAGATAATACCAACAGTTCCATTTAATTGTTAATAGTTAACCATCGTATCTAATAAAGTTATAAACATGGCTGCGCCCTTAGATAAACTTTTTACACGTGAATTAGAGCGTAATGACGATGAGATAGTGAAAATAAGCCAGTCAGAAATCGGCGATGTCGGTTGTGTGGTCTGGGATGCAGCTATCGTTCTCAGTAAATATTTAGAAACACATGACTTTGACGGTGGCAAATCGTGGATGGGAAAGAAAGTCGTCGAACTAGGTGCAGGGACGGGTGTTGTAGGATTGTTTGCAGCAAGTTATGGGTGTGTATGACTTGACAGATATGTGTGATGATGTCAGTACTAGAGCACTGTTACCAGTGTCAATGTGAGACAGAAGTACATGTCTTACGACAACCTGAACACCATCAGCTAATGATTGGCCATACGACTAAGGGAGGTAACCATTTGTATTATCGAATGATCAGTTTGAAGCGCTGGTAAAATATTTAAAACCACACTATTTACATCACCCACTGTATCATATCAATGATGAATTGGGCAGTTTGCTGGTCAAAGCATTCCTGATTCAAAGGCTGGTCGTATGGGATGTTTTTTAATTTGCCAGTTTCCGGAAGTGAAATGTTTATGACTTTTAACCAAAAGAAATGTCAAACATTTAACTATCCTATTTGTTAGAGATACAAAATGTTTTTCAAAATCTGTGTATTTAATAGACATGATCAATCTTGTATCTCTATAAGTATGAACTACCACTTTATGACAGTCAAAGATCTTAAACAGTCTTTATGTTTTTGTCTTCAGAGCGGATGTGATCATCACAGATTTACCCGAGTTTGTTCCTCTGATGGAATTGAATATCAAGGAGAATACTCACATCATCAGCGGATCAGCTGAGGCATGTACTCTGACGTGGGGTCAAGACAAGTCAACAAAGTTTGACCACATTGATTTCATCATCATTGCAGATTGCATTTATTACGAAGAGGTATTTGTCATTATAAACTCTGTGTTGTATTGTTGTATTATCACTTAATGAAAGAATCAATATACTGTATTCGACGTAATAAGCACCCCACTCTAATAAGTGCCCACAGCGATATTTGCTAATATATTGGCTAGTGAACAATCCCAATTAGCACGCTTTCCGATGGATCAATGTACAAAAGACTTATTTATTCACGTATAATACGCACTCGTGTGTTATATGCACCCTTAATTATGGGCAATTAAATTCTGGAAAAATATATCTGTCGTATATAAACATTTCAGGCTGTCAGCATAAACCACGAAATTTATCTTTCAACTCTGTTTTTTTCACCAAAATAATATTCTAATAAGAGCCCCCTATTTCTAATTTTTAGAAATATTCCAGCTATATGACGGCAATCTATAAATAAGTCTGGACAAGACAATCCAATGATTGAGCATCAATCCACGCCATGGGGATCGATGACATTAATCAACCAAGTCAGCGAGCCTGAAATAGATCTTTGAGATACCTTGATTGAAATTAAGGGAGTCTCTCTTGTCTGCATCCATGTCCAGTCTTTATTGAGACATTATGATACAGTGTCTCCAAACTTAGTAACCATAGTCATGATGGAAACAAGGTTAACCAGTTACTGCTAATTTAGAACAGACAATAATCATGGTCATGTTCCATAAGTCAGTGGTAGAAACTGGAACTAGTCCTATAGGCCTTGCCAAACTGCCCAATACTAAAGGTGTTATAAGGTCAAGTAGAAATTTGCCCTGTTTAAAGGTTTTGCTATATGTTATTATAAGGACTGGTGGACTAAGAGTGTTAGTTTCTATCACTGTCAGCATTCAAAGTTAACATGAGTAAGCAAGGTTCTGTGGTCTGTGAGGTTTACACCTATATATTGAATGAAGGGACCTTTGACGTCAGAGTTATGACAGGACCCTTGACTTTCATTCTTACTTTTGAACACTGTGATATAGTGAAATTCTGGAAAGAACTGTTCCAAGTGACATTGTCTGGATTAATATCAATGAGTCATGGGCACCGGTAATGTTCTGGTTTAATCATAAATGTCACAGGGTATATAGGATCAGGACTAATAGAGTGAATGAGTGAGTGAGTTGGGTTTAACGCCGCTTTTAGTTTTAACAGTATTCCAGTTATATAACAGCGTGTCAGCTTAATGTGGGAGGAAAGCCCGCAGTGATGGAGGTCTCAGACGTTTACCACTTCGGTGAAACCCAAGAGCACGGGTATGGTGCTCACAAACCTAGAAACATAATCGGGCGACCTGGGATTCAAACCCACAATCATAGGTTTCTAGCGTGCCCAAGGGACGCAACTCTGCACAGCTAATCGCTGTGCCTTAGACGACTGGGCCACCCGTGCCCCCCGGACTAAAAGAGAATCTCACCTGTCTCTTAATATAAACCATGTCAACACAAGTCGAGATATTTGACATCAATAGACACATGGGTGAGATTCTATTTAGTATTTATCTTCCTCAATCATTCTTCTAATTTTTTTCAGTTTGTAAACAGTAATAACCAGTGTCCTGAGTGTAAATAGTAATCAAAACAGCTTGAGTGGCAGAGAGATTAGTGATGTCATTTGATTGTGACATCATAGCAACAATGATGCACAATGTTCTGCAAAGCGCTGTGATACAATTTCATGGAAGTGATATCTCCTGTGGGATCCGTGTTGGAAGATAAGCAGGTTTTCATTGAAGATTCAAAGTTGCTTGAACCACAAGTTTAATTCCATTTAAGTTCTTCTTTTACTAATCATGCAAATAAGGCCGAGATATTTATGTATACCTGCTCCAGTAATCATGAATAATACTGTGAGGGTTCTGGGTCATAGGCTCCCTGTACCTGTGGGTTGTGGTAAGAGATGACTGAACTGGAGATCAGATGGCCAGGTTATGTGACTTGGCTGATTGTGTGTCACCTTCATCTGCCAGTGTGGGATGTGTGGGACTTGGCTGATAGTGTGTCACCTTCACCTGCCAGTGTGGGACTTGGCTGATTGTGTGTCACCTTCACCTGCTAGTGTGGGATGTGTGGGACTTGGCTGATAGTGTGTCACCTTCACCTGCCAGTGTGGGACTTGGCTGATTGTGTGTCACCTTCACCTGCCAGTGTGGGATGTGTGGGACTTGGCTGATTGTGTGTCACCTTCACCTGCCAGTGTGGGACTTGGCTGATTGTGTGTCACCTTCACTTGCCAGTGTGGGATGTGTGGGACTTGGCTGATAGTGTGTCACCTTCACCTGCCAGTGTGGGACTTGGCTGATTGTGTGTCACCTTCACTTGCCAGTGTGGGACTTGGCTGATTGTGTGTCACCTTCACCTGCCAGTGTGGGACTTGGCTGATTGTGTGTCACCTTCACTTGCCAGTGTGGGACTTGGCTGATAGTGTGTCACCTTCACCTGCCAGTGTGGGACTTGGCTGATTGTGTGTCACCTTCACTTGCCAGTGTGGGATGTGTGGGACTTGGCTGATAGTGTGTCACCTTCACCTGCCAGTGTGGGATGTGGGGGACTCGGCTGATTGTGTGTCACCTTCACCTGCCAGTGTGGGATGTGGGGGACTTGGCTGATTGTGTGTCACCTTCACCTGCCAGTGTGGGATGTGGGGGACTTGGCTGATTGTGTGTCACCTTCACCTGCCAGTGTGGGATGTGGGGGACTTGGCTGATTGTGTGTCACCTTCACCTGCCAGTGTGGGATGTGGGGGACTTGGCTGATTGTGTGTCACCTTCACCTGCCAGTGGGGGACTTGGCTGATTGTGTGTCACCTTCACCTGCCAGTGTGGGATGTGGGTGACTTGGCTGATTGTGTGTCACCTTCACCTGCCAGTGTGGGACTTGGCTGATTGTGTGTCACCTTCACTTGCCAGTGTGGGATGTGTGGGACTTGGCTGATTGTGTGTCACCTTCACCTGCCAGTGTGGGATGTGGGGGACTTGGCTGATTGTGTGTCACCTTCACCTGCCAGTGGGGGACTTGGCTGATTGTGTGTCACCTTCACCTGCCAGTGTGGGATGAGGGGGACTTGGCTGATTGTGTGTCACCTTCACCTGCCAGTGTGGGATGTGGGGGACTTGGCTGATTGTGTGTCACCTTCACCTGCCAGTGTGGGATGTGGGGGACTTGGCTGATTGTATGTCACCTTCACCTGCCAGTGGGGGACTTGGCTGATAGTGTGTCACCTTCACCTGCCAGTGTGGGATGTGGGGGACTTGGCTGATTGTGTGTCACCTTCACCTGCCAGTGTGGGATGTGGGGGACTTGGCTGATTGTGTGTCACCTTCACCTGCCAGTGGGGGACTTGGCTGATTGTGTGTCACCTTCACCTGCCAGTGTGGGATGTGGGTGACTTGGCTGATTGTGTGTCACCTTCACCTGCCAGTGTGGGACTTGGCTGATTGTGTGTCACCTTCACCTGCCAGTGTGGGATGTGGGGGACTTGGCTGATTGTGTGTCACCTTCACCTGCCAGTGGGTGACTTGGCTGATTGTGTGTCACCTTCACCTGCCAGTGTGGGATGAGGGGGACTTGGCTGATTGTGTGTCACCTTCACCTGCCAGTGTGGGATGTGGGGGACTTGGCTGATTGTGTGTCACCTTCACCTGCCAGTGGGGGATGTGGGGGACTTGGCTGATTGTATGTCACCTTCACCTGCCAGTGGGGGACTTGGCTGATAGTGTGTCACCTTCACCTGCCAGTGTGGGATGAGGGGGACTTGGCTGATTGTGTGTCACCTTCACCTGCCAGTGGGGGATGTGGGGGACTTGGCTGATTGTGTGTCACCTTCACCTGCCAGTGTGGGATGTGTGGGACTTGGCTGATTGTGTGTCACCTTCACCTGCCAGTGTGGGATGTGGGGGACTTGGCTGATTGTGTGTCACCTTCACCTGCCAGTGTGGGATGTGGGGGACTTGGCTGATTGTGTGTCACCTTCACCTGCCAGTGTGGGATGTGTGGGACTTGGCTGATCGTGTGTCACCTTCACCTGCCAGTGTGGGATGTGTGGGACTTGGCTGATTGTGTGTCACCTTCACCTGCCAGTGGGTGACTTGGCTGATTGTGTGTCACCTTCACCTGCCAGTGTGGGATGTGTGGGACTTGGCTGATTGTGTGTCACCTTCACCTGCCAGTGGGGGATGTGGGGGACTTGGCTGATTGTGTGTCACCTTCACCTGCCAGTGGGGGATGTGGGGGACTTGGCTGATCGTGTGTCACCTTCACCTGCCAGTGTGGGATGTGGGTGACTTGGCTGATTGTGTGTCACCTTCACCTGCCAGTGGGGGATGTGGGGGACTTGGCTGATTGTGTGTCACCTTCACCTGCCAGTGGGGGACTTGGCTGATTGTGTGTCACCTTCACCTGCCAGTGGGGGATGTGGGGGACTTGGCTGATTGTGTGTCACCTTCACCTGCCAGTGTGGGACTTGGCTGATCGTGTGTCACCTTCACCTGCCAGTGTGGGATGTGTGGGACTTGGCTGATAGTGTGTCACCTTCACCTGCCAGTGTGGGACTTGGCTGATTGTATGTCACCTTCACCTGCCAGTGTGGGATGTGGGGGACTTGGCTGATTGTGTGTCACCTTCACCTGCCAGTGTGGGATGTGTGGGACTTGGCTGATAGTGTGTCACCTTCACCTGCCAGTGTGGGATGTGGGGGACTTGGCTGATCGTGTGTCACCTTCACCTGCCAGTGGGGGACTTGGCTGATTGTGTGTCACCTTCACCTGCCAGTGTGGGATGTGGGGGACTTGGCTGATTGTGTGTCACCTTCACCAGCCAGTGGGGGACTTGGCTGATTGTGTGTCACCTTCACCTGCCAGTGGGGGACTTGGCTGATTGTGTGTCACCTTCACCTGCCAGTGTGGGATGTGGGGGACTTGGCTGATTGTGTGTCACCTTCACCTGCCAGTGGGGGACTTGGCTGATTGTGTGTCACCTTCACCTGCCAGTGTGGGATGTGGGGGACTTGGCTGATCGTGTGTCACCTTCACCTGCCAGTGGGGGACTTGGCTGACTGTGTGTCACCTTCACCTGCCAGTGTGGGATGTGGGGGACTTGGCTGATTGTGTGTCACCTTCACCTGCCAGTGTGGGATGTGGGGGACTTGGCTGATTGTGTGTCACCTTCACCTGCCAGTGTGGGATGTGTGGGACTTGGCTGATTGTGTGTCACCTTCACCTGCCAGTGGGGGACTTGGCTGATTGTGTGTCACCTTCACCTGCCAGTGTGGGATGTGTGGGACTTGGCTGATCGTGTGTCACCTTCACCTGCCAGTGTGGGATGTTGGGGACTTGGCTGATTGTGTGTCACCTTCACCTGCCAGTGTGGGATGTGGGGGACTTGGCTGATTGTGTGTCACCTTCACCTGCCAGTGGGGGACTTGGCTGATTGTGTGTCACCTTCACCTGCCAGTGGGGGATGTGGGGGACTTGGCTGATTGTGTGTCACCTTCACCTGCCAGTGGGGGACTTGGCTGATTGTGTGTCACCTTCACCTGCCAGTGTGGGATGTGTGGGACTTGGCTGATAGTGTGTCACCTTCACCTGCCAGTGTGGGATGTGGGGGACTTGGCTGATTGTGTGTCACCTTCACCTGCCAGTGGGGGACTTGGCTGATTGTGTGTCACCTTCACCTGCCAGTGAGGGACTTGGCTGATCGTGTGTCACCTTCACCTGCCAGTGTGGGATGTGGGGGACTTGGCTGATTGTGTGTCACCTTCACCTGCCAGTGTGGGATGTGGGGGTCTTGGCTGATCGTGTGTCACCATCAACTGCCAGTGTGGGATGTGGGGGACTTGGCTGATTGTGTGTCACCTTCACCTGCCAGTGGGGGACTTGGCTGATTGTGTGTCACCTTCACCTGCCAGTGTGGGATGTGTGGGACTTGGCTGATTGTGTGTCACCTTCACCTGCCAGTAGGGGATGTGGGGGACTTGGCTGATTGTGTGTCACCTTCACCTGCCAGTGTGGGATGTGGGGGACTTGGCTGATTGTGTGTCACCTTCACCTGCCAGTGGGGGACTTGGCTGATTGTGTGTCACCTTCACCTGCCAGTGTGGGATGTGGGTGACTTGGCTGATTGTGTGTCACCTTCACCTGCCAGTGTGGGACTTGGCTGATTGTGTGTCACCTTCACCTGCCAGTGTGGGATGTGGGGGACTTGGCTGATTGTGTGTCACCTTCACCTGCCAGTGTGGGATGTGGGGGACTTGGCTGATTGTGTGTCACCTTCACCTGCCAGTGGGGGATGTGGGGGACTTGGCTGATTGTGTGTCACCTTCACCTGCCAGTGTGGGATGTGGGGGACTTGGCTGATTGTGTGTCACCTTCACCTGCCAGTGTGGGATGTGGGGGACTTGGCTGATTGTGTGTCACCTTCACCTGCCAGTGGGGGACTTGGCTGATAGTGTGTCACCTTCACCTGCCAGTGTGGGATGAGGGGGACTTGGCTGATTGTGTGTCACCTTCACCTGCCAGTGTGGGATGTGGGTGACTTGGCTGATTGTGTGTCACCTTCACCTGCCAGTGGGTGACTTGGCTGATTGTGTGTCACCTTCACCTGCCAGTGTGGGATGTGTGGGACTTGGCTGATTGTGTGTCACCTTCACCTGCCAGTGGGGGATGTGTGGGACTTGGCTGATTGTGTGTCACCTTCACCTGCCAGTGGGGGATGTGGGGGACTTGGCTGATCGTGTGTCACCTTCACCTGCCAGTGTGGGATGTGGGTGACTTGGCTGATTGTGTGTCACCTTCACCTGCCAGTGTGGGATGTGGGGGACTTGGCTGATTGTGTGTCACCTTCACCTGCCAGTGGGGGACTTGGCTGATTGTGTGTCACCTTCACCTGCCAGTGGGGGATGTGGGGGACTTGGCTGATTGTGTGTCACCTTCACCTGCCAGTGTGGGACTTGGCTGATCGTGTGTCACCTTCACCTGCCAGTGTGGGATGTGTGGGACTTGGCTGATAGTGTGTCACCTTCACCTGCCAGTGTGGGACTTGGCTGATCGTGTGTCACCTTCACCTGCCAGTGGGGGACTTGGCTGATTGTGTGTCACCTTCACCAGCCAGTGGGGGATGTGGGGGACTTGGCTGATTGTGTGTCACCTTCACCTGCCAGTGTGGGATGTGGGGGACTTGGCTGATAGTGTGTCACCTTCACCTGCCAGTGTGGGATGTGGGGGACTTGGCTGATTGTGTGTCACCTTCACCTGCCAGTGTGGGATGTGTGGGACTTGGCTGTTTGTGTGTCACCTTCACCTGCCAGTGTGGGATGTGGGGGACTTGACTGATTGTGTGTCACCTTCACCTGCCAGTGGGGGACTTGGCTGATTGTGTGTCACCTTCACCTGCCAGTGGGGGATGTGGGGGACTTGGCTGATTGTGTGTCACCTTCACCTGCCAGTGTGGGATGTGTGGGACTTGGCTGATTGTGTGTCACCTTCACCTGCCAGTGTGGGATGTGGGGGACTTGGCTGATTGTGTGTCACCTTCACCTGCCAGTGTGGGATGTGGGGGACTTGGCTGATAGTGTGTCACCTTCACCTGCCAGTGTGGGATGTGGGGGACTTGGCTGATTGTGTGTCACCTTCACCTGCCAGTGTGGGATGTGGGGGACTTGGCTGATTGTGTGTCACCTTCACCTGCCAGTGTGGGATGTGGGGGACTTGGCTGACCGTGTGTCACCTTCACCTGCCAGTATGGGATGTGGGGGACTTGGCTGACTGTGTGTCACCTTCACCTGCCAGTGTGGGATGTGGGGATACAGCTCTCAGTCATTGTTTTGCACACACATAAGAGTCCCACGAAGATTCCAGGTTAAAATTGGTCTTCTGCAACCCACGCTTGTCATAAGAGGCGACTAACAGGATTTGGTGGTCAAACTTGCCGACTTGGTTAATGCATGTCATCTTATTCCAATAGCGTGGATCGATACTCATGATGTCAATCACTGGATTGTCTGGTCCAGGCTCGATTATTTACGGACCGCCGTCAAATAGCTTGAATATTGCTGAGTGCAGTGTTAAACTGAAATACAAACAGTTGCTACGATATGCTAAATGTATTGCTTGTGTTAAAGTCCCTGGAGCCCCTGGTGTCAACTATCACTGAGCTGAGTGACATGGAAACTACAGTGTTGTGTTGCTATGAGCAGAGGGACACTGGCAATAAGCCAGAGCTGGAGAAAAAATTCTTCCAGGTTAGTATGCATCCCGTTTATGGGTTGATGAAAGTAATACAGTGGGAATTTGTATGGGTGCCATGCATGGTTGAAAAAAAGTTAAACACAGAATTTGTGTGCATGCCATGCTTAGTTGTAGACATTTAGTCTCTGAAATATCCTTCTTGACTCTAAAAATATATAAAAAATATCCTATGCTGATGAGGAATAGAGCTAGCTTGAGCTGGCTAGACTTGCTTTTGTATGCGTTTCTAGATGGTACTGTACTGGGTCAGGTAGCCCTTGGAGGCTGTGGTTCCAGTCCCAAGTCAGCGTCCAATATGGCAGCCATATACATGTATATGATCCATGGTACTGTACTGGGTCAGGTAGCCCTTGGAGGCTGTGGTTCCTGGTGCCAAGTCAGCGTCCAATATGGCAGCCATATATATGATCCATGGTACTGTACTGGGTCAGATAGCCCTTGAAGACTGTGGTTCCTGGTGCCAAGCCAGCGTCCAATATGACAGCCATATACATGTATATGATCCATGGTACTGTACAGGGTCAGATAGCCCTTGGAGGCTGTGGTTCCAGTGCCAAGTCAGTGTCCAATATGGCAGCCATATATATGATCCATGGTACTGTACTGGGTCAGGTAGCCCTTGGAGGCTGTGGTTCCAGTGCCAAGCCAGCGTCCAATATGGCAGCCATATATATATGATCCATGGTACTGTACTGGGTCAGGTAGCCCTTGAAGACTGTGGTTCCTGGTGCCAAGCCAGCTTCCAATATGACAGCCATATACATGTATATGATCCATGGTACTGTACTGGGTCAGGTAGCCCTTGTAGGCTGTGGTTCCTGGTGCCAAGCCAGCGTCCAATATGGCAGCCATATATATGATCCATGGTACTGTACTGGGTCAGATAGCCCTTGGAGGCTGTGGTTCCAGTCCCAAGTCAGTGTCCAATATGGCAGCCATATATATGATCCATGGTTCTGTACTGGGTCAGATAGCCCTTGGAGGCTGTGGTTCCAGTGCCAAGCCAGCGTCCAATATGGCAGCCATATACATGTATATGATCCATGGTACTGTACTGGGTCAGGTAGCCCTTGGAGGCTGTGGTTCCAGTCCCAAGTCAGCGTCCAATATGGCGGCCATATACATGTATATGATCCATGGTACTGTACTGGGTCAGGTAGCCCTTGGAGGCTGTGGTTCCAGTCCCAAGTCAGCGTCCAATATGGCAGCCATATACATGTATATGATCCATGGTACTGTACTGGGTCAGGTAGCCCTTGTAGGCTGTGGTTCCTGGTGCCAAGCCAGCGTCCAATATGGCAGCCATATATATATGATCCATGGTACTGTACTGGGTCAGATAGCCCTTGGAGGCTGTGGTTCCAGTGCCAAGCCAGCGTCCAATATGGCAGCCATATACATGTATATGATCCATGGTACTGTACTGGGTCAGGTAGCCCTTGGAGGCTGTGGTTCCAGTCCCAAGTCAGCGTCCAATATGGCAGCCATATACATGTATATGATCCATGGTACTGTACTGGGTCAGGTAGCCCTTGGAGGCTGTGGTTCCTGGTGCCAAGTCAGCGTCCAATATGGCAGCCATATATAAATGATCCATGGTACTGTACTGGGTCAGATAGCCCTTGAAGACTGTGGTTCCTGGTGCCAAGCCAGCGTCCAATATGACAGCCATATACATGTATATGATCCATGGTACTGTACTGGGTCAGATAGCCCTTGGAGGCTGTGGTTCCAGTCCCAAGTCAGTGTCCAATATGGCAGCCATATATATGATCCATGGTACTGTACTGGGTCAGGTAGCCCTTGGAGGCTGTGGTTCCAGTGCCAAGCCAGCGTCCAATATGGCAGCCATATATATATGATCCATGGTACTGTACTGGGTCAGGTAGCCCTTGAAGACTGTGGTTCCTGGTGCCAAGCCAGCTTCCAATATGACAGCCATATACATGTATATGATCCATGGTACTGTACTGGGTCAGATAGCCCTTGTAGGCTGTGGTTCCTGGTGCCAAGCCAGCGTCCAATATGACAGCCATATATATATGATCCATGGTACTGTACTGGGTCAGGTAGCCCTTGAAGACTGTGGTTCCTGGTGCCAAGCCAGCTTCCAATATGGCAGCCATATACATGTATATGATCCATGGTACTGTACAGGGTCAGGTAGCCCTTGTAGGCTGTGGTTCCTGGTGCCAAGCCAGCTTCCAATATGGCAGCCATATACATGTATATGATCCATGGTACTGTACTGGGTCAGATAGCCCTTGTAGGCTGTGGTTCCTGGTGCCAAGCCAGCGTCCAATATGACAGCCATATATATATGATCCATGGTACTGTACTGGGTCAGGTAGCCCTTGAAGACTGTGGTTCCTGGTGCCAAGCCAGCTTCCAATATGGCAGCCATATACATGTATATGATCCATGGTACTGTACTGGGTCAGGTAGCCCTTGTAGGCTGTGGTTCCTGGTGCCAAGCCAGCGTCCAATATGGCAGCCATATATATGATCCATGGTACTGTACTGGGTCAGATAGCCCTTGGAGGCTGTGGTTCCAGTGCCAAGCCAGCGTCCAATATGGCAGCCATGTACATGTATATGATCCATGGTACTGTACTGGGTCAGGTAGCCCTTGTAGGCTGTGGTTCCAGTCCCAAGTCAGTGTCCAATATGGCAGCCATATATATGATCCATGGTACTGTACTGGGTCAGATAGCCCTTGGAGGCTGTGGTTCCAGTCCCAAGTCAGTGTCCAATATGGCAGCCATATATATGATCCATGGTACTGTACTGGGTCAGATAGCCCTTGGAGGCTGTGGTTCCAGTGCCAAGCCAGCGTCCAATATGGCAGCCATATACATGTATATGATCCATGGTACTGTACTGGGTCAGGTAGCCCTTGTAGGCTGTGGTTCCAGTTCCAAGTCAGTGTCCAATATGGCAGCCATATATATGATCCATGGTACTGTACTGGGTCAGGTAGCCCTTGGAGGCTGTGGTTCCAGTCCCAAGTCAGTGTCCAATATGGCAGCCATATATATGATCCATGGTACTGTACTGGGTCAGGTAGCCCTTGGAGGCTGTGGTTCCTGGTGCCAAGCCAGCGTCCAATATGGCAGCCATATACATGTATATGATCCATGGTACTGTACTGGGTCAGGTAGCCCTTGTAGGCTGTGGTTCCAGTCCCAAGTCAGTGTCCAATATGGCAGCCATATATATGATCCATGGTACTGTACTGGGTCAGGTAGCCCTTGGAGGCTGTGGTTCCAGTCCCAAGTCAGTGTCCAATATGGCAGCCATATATATGATCCATGGTACTGTACTGGGTCAGGTAGCCCTTGGAGGCTGTGGTTCCAGTCCCAAGTCAGCGTCCAATATGGCAGCCATATATATATGATCCATGGTACTGTACTGGGTCAGGTAGCCCTTGAAGACTGTGGTTCCAGTGACAAGTCAGTGTCCAATATGGCAGCCATATATATGATTCCATTGGAGTTCTTCACTTGTGTATATCAGTATGTACAAGATGCAGTTTATTCCCTAACTGTGCAGTTTGTTGCATGTCCTCCACCTGTGTTGCAGCTGATCAGGGAATCATTTGATGTGTCAAAGATCCCTCAAGAAAACCAAGATCTTCATTTCCGAAGTGAGGACATTCACATCCTCAAGTTCACCAAGAAGCAGATTGCTGATGCAACATGATGTCCTGGCAGAGAGAAAACAAGGTATCCATGGTAACAACAGACTAATGGAATCTCAGGAAATTATTTTTAGCATAAGACAGACTCCTTATTCTTGTGCTGGGACTAAATACTAGTGTCATATTGACTCTCGAGCAGGCTATGTGTGTTTTATATGTGTGTATCTTATGTGTTCTGTACAAAGAGGGTATCCAAGTATTATCTTATATGTTCTGTACAAGGAGGGTATGTAAGTATTATCTTATGTGTTCTGTACAAGGAGGGCATGCAAGTATTATCTTATGTGTTCTGTACAAGGAGGGTATGTAAGTATTATCTTATGTGTTCTGTACAAAGAAGGTATGTAAGTATTATCTTATGTGTTCTGTACGAGGAGGTTATGTAAGTATTATCTTATGTGTTCTGTACAAGGAGGGTATGTAAGTATTATCTTATGTGTTCTGTACAAAGAAGGTATGTAAGTATTATCTTATGTGTTCTGTACAAGGAGGTTATGTAAGTATTATCTTATGTGTTCTGTACAAGGAGAGTATGCAAGTATTATCTTATGTGTTCTGTACAAGGAGAGTATGCAAGTATTATCTTATGTGTTCTGTACAAAGAAGGTATGTAAGTATTATCTTATGTGTTCTGTACAAGGAGGGTATGTAAGAATTATTTTATGTGTTCTTACAAGGAGAGTATGCAAGTATTATCTTATGTGTTCTGTACAAAGAATGTATGTAAGTATTATCTTATGTGTTCTGTACAAAGAAGGTATGTAAGTGTTATCTTATATGTTCTGTACAAGGAGGGTATGTAAGTATTATCTTATGTGTTCTGTACAAGGAGGGTATGTAAGTATTATCTTATGTGTTCTGTACAAAGAAGGTATGTAAGTATTATCTTATGTGTTCTGTACAAGGAGGGTATGTAAGTATTATCTTATGTGGTCTGTACAAGGAGGGTATGTAAGTATTATCTTATGTGTTCTGTACAAAGAAGGTATGTAAGTATTATCTTATGTGTTCTGTACAAAGAAGGTATGTAAGTATTATCTTATGTGTTCTGTACAAAGAAGGTATGTAAGTATTATCTTATGTGTTCTGTACAAGGAGGGTATGTTAGTATTATCTTATGTGTTCTGTACAAGGAGGGTATGAAAGTATTATCTTATGTGCTCTTACAAGGAGAGTATGCAAGTATTATCTCATGTGTTCTGTACAAGGAAGGTATGTAAGTATTATCTTATGTGTTCTGTACAAGGAGGGCATGTAAGTATTATCTTATGTGTTCTGCACAAAGAAGGTATGTAAGTATTATGTTATGTGTTCTGTACAAGGAGGGTATGTATGTATTATCTTATGTGTTCTATACAAAGAGGGCATGCAAGTATATGTAAGTATTATCTTATGTGTTCTGTACAAGGAGGGTATGCAAATATTATCTTATGTGTTCTGTACAAGGAGGGTATGCAAGTATTATCGTATGTGTTCTGTACAAGGAGGGCATGCAAGTATTATCTCGTGTGTTCTATACAAGGAGGGTATGTAAGTATTATCTTATGTGTTCTGTACAAGGAGGGTATGTAAGAATTATCTTATGTGTTCTGTACAAAGAAGTTATTTAAGTATTATCTTATGTGTTCTGTACAAGGAGGGTATGTAAGTATTATCTTATGTGTTCTTACTAGGAGAGTATGCAAGTATCATCTTATGTGTTCTGTACAAAGAAGGTATGTAAGTATTATATTATGTGTTCTGTACAAGGAGGGTATGTAAGAATTATCTTATGTGTTCTTACAAGGAGGGTATGTAAGAATTATCTTATGTGTTCTTACAAGGAGGGTATGTAAGTATTATCTTATGTGTTCTGTACAAGGAGGGTATGTAAGAATTATCTTATGTGTTCTGTACAAGGAGGGTATGTAAGTATTATCTTATGTGTTCTGTACAAGGAGGGTATGTAAGTATTATCTTATGTGTTCTGTACAAAGAAGGTATGTAAGTATTATCTTATGTGTTCTGTACAAAGAAGGTATGTAAGTATTATCTTATGTGTTCTGTACAAGGAGGGTATGCAAGTATTATCTTATATGTTCTGTACAAGGAGGGTATGTAAGTATTATCTTATGTGTTATGTACAAGGAGAGTATGCAAGTATTATCTTATGTGTTCTGTACAAGGAGGGTATGTAAGTATAATCTTATGTGTTCTGTACAAAGAAGGTATGTAAGTATTATCTTTTGTGTTCTATACAAGGAGGGCATACCTCGCACAAGTTAATGAACACTTGATATTATGAACTGATGACATAGTGAACATAATTATCAAGAAACATTTGCTGACAGAATGAAAAGGAATGGATTTTTATTTTAATTTTGAGGTATTTCCAGGTTTAATTTGGGAGTTTATAAAGACATTTCCTGTGGACCTTGGGTCATTGTTGGCACCAGAGAACACTAAGATAAATCTATGAGTACTCTTCTTCCTCCATAATTCTATGTGTTATTTCTTCTGTTGACCTGCTACAGCTACTAGGACGATACAGGAGGATGTCAGGAAGAATGACCTTCTATTCTGATTATGATGGTCAGTGCTGATCTCCTAACCTACAACTCAAACACGCTGTTGGTGTGCAAAGGAAACAATACATGCATGTTCGACTCTGACATTGACAAGAGGAAAGCTGCTCATTGGCATTAGAATATGAACATGCTGATGTTCTTGACATTCTAAACCATCATCTGTGAACCATTCCAGCACACCCCTGTGCGGACCTGGAATAGGATCTGTCCCCAACACTCTATTGAATTGAACAAGGCAATACAATTTGATTTGGCGGTCAGACCCAATGACTTGGTTGATTGTGTGTCATTACATCCCAAAAGTATATGTTGTTCATGATGTCTACCACTATTTTACCTGGTTGGGACTGATTGTTTGCAGGTGGTTGTGACAAAGCTGGTGTTTTGCTGACTACCATAAAAGATTAAATAACGCCAGCACAAGAATGATTTATATATAGATGTCTGCCTAGTCAAAATTCATGAAAGGGAGATAACTTTAGTGTGAAAGTGTTGCAAAGATTGCACTTTTTGATAATGACCTCATGGTTGGTGGGTGACCAACTGGTTTATGGTGCAGCAATTCAAGAGTTGTGTCCCTTGCCTGTGGCAGGAATTGCTTGTCATTGGTTTGAATCCAGATTTACCCTAATATATTATAATCCTTGGTTTTAGTACCATAAACTGCCTCCGTGGTCTAGCAGTAGAGCATCCGCCCAGAGAGCGGAAGGTCCAGGATTCGATCCCCGGCCGCTTCATACCAAAAGACGTTAAAAGATGGCACTTGTTGTTACCCTGTCTGGCTAAAATAAGGAATGGTCGGCTCGGAGTCAGTATACTGTGCCTGAGTGGGGTATTCATGTTAAACTGCGGCATGGTATCTCAGTGGGCTAGCACTATAAATCGGCATCAGTCTGGACTAGCACAAGCAGCCACACACACACATCGCTATATAAGTGCAATAATCTTGGATGCGACATAAAAAACCCATTTCACCTCACCTGTTAAGACCATGCCCATGTTCATGAGGTTGACCAGTTACAAATGTTTAATACACATGTTAGTGAGGCTCTCCTCACGCATTAGTTGCCTTGCTGTTATGTAACTGAAAACTGTTGAAAGCAAACCAAACAAATCCCAATGGTTGGTGAGATTACTTACACACAGTAACAGCTGACTTGTTTTGTTATGTCATTAAGATTACTGTTCCAGAAGCTGGATCTACTGGAAAAAATTGTTAACATCCACCATTGTAATTTGTGTACAGGAATCTGTGGTTCTTTTATGTGATGTGTGCTTTCAGCTTGTTTAGTTAGATTTCACATAACATATTTGTTTCTCTCATTGTAACCATGGAGGGTGGTACAAATCTCTGGCTTTTACATAAAAAATGAAACTGACTTATACAAAATAGGCATAAAAACTGACCTGAATTGCACCTGCGGCAACTTCATAGAAAACTCTTTCCACTATTTGTTTGAATGTCCATTATATATAAGTAAATGAGTGAGTGAGTGAGCGAGTGAGTTGGGTTTAACGCCGCTTTTAACAGTATTCCAGTTATATCGCGGCATGTCAGCTTAATGTGGGAGGAAAGCCCGAAGTGATGCAGGTCTTAGATGTTTACCAGTTCGGTGAAACCCACGAGCACGGGTATGGTGCTGACAAACCTAGAAACATAATCGGGGCGAACCGGGATTCGAACCAAAAATCATAGGTTTCTGGCGTGCCCAAGGGACGCAACTCTGCACAGCGAATCGCGGCGCCTTAGACGACTGGGCCACCCGTGCCCCCTAGTCAAAGAGAACAACTTGTAATACATATGTATTTAAGCCAGTGCAATCTTACATCAATCAGACCAAATGCTTTGTCAAATCATCTTAAAGTCTGCCGAACATTTTGTTTTTATTTCCATTTTCACAAAAATATATAAATCCTAATGCTTAAACACAATGCACAAAAAAAAATTGAAAATGGAAACAAAAGTGAAACCGGCAATGAACTTTATGATGATGTGGGCAGTGCCTGAGAACCAAGACTATGTTTTTAGCCCTGCATGAAGAGGATAAAACAAGAACTGGTTCGCGCAGACTCAGAATACTTGGTCTGTGTTGGGGATACAAGTTAAACTGCAGCATCTTAACTCAGTGGGCTAGCACTATAAAACCGACATAAGTCGGACTAGTACAAGCACACGCACAAGAGATGCAAGTAACTATATAAGTGCAATAATGTTGAACATGCCGCTAAACCCCATTTCCCCTCATGTCATAATGAATGTATCATTTCACCTCAAGGCTAGCTAGCGGCCTTAGTGCCAGGTCTAGGTTGTAGAGGGGTTATATCTTTACTGTTTACATGTCAGTGTAGCATCTTATTTATTAAACCTGCATTCATTTGATGTATTGTTCCATTTGTCTATTAAATCTCCTGTTCTTAAGAACATTAAGACATATACTTTTTTCTAGATTTCACACTATTTTTCTGATACAACAATTACCAAAGGAAGACATCTTATTCTTGAAGAATCAAAGTTCCACACAAGTCAAACTTTTAAGGCAACTATAACATATACTTTCATCTTTAGTTTCCCAAAACAACAAAACATACTTAACCTAATACATTTATTTACAAACTTTTCATACACATTATCTTGAATTCTAAAGAATTATTTACATTCACAAAATGAGGTATATGAAACTTGTGGATGAAAGTAAAGTTATGCTGACTTCACAGTACATTCACATGAATTTCAAATCTTTGTACATGTGATGGTACACAACAAACTCTATTCCATGTTCAGCTTAAAGCGGAGTCCAGGTGCAGCACGATATCGGAACGTTCCTGTCCATGTCTGACTTTCTGTATCAGTAAAATTTCCGTCTCCTTCCATCCTGAAGAAAAATGTTTCACATTTTAGCCACATCCAGAATTGAAGTCTGGTCTCGCAATACATTCCAGAAAACTTTTGAAATATACTACTCAAGTTTTGATGTGGACATTTCTTTCTATATATCAACAAATAACAGAAATGCCCCTATTAATAGTAGTAGTATGTGCGAAAGAAAGCAATGTCCTAGTTCTGTCTCACAGAAAATGATACTGACGTTATATTCACTATGAAAAAATGTTGCCAAAATTGAATTATTACAACAAAATTTGACTGTTATGCTTCTTACTTGTTTTCAACAAATTGTCCTTCATAAAATGATCCATTTGGCCAAACGTATTTTCCTATTCCATGAAACTGGTTGTTGTTGAACTCTCCAATATAAACATTGCCAGATGGATGGGTCAGCTTCCCCTGACCATTCATCTTGTCCCCTGCCCACTGTCCATCATACACCACACCATCTGCTGTTGTGTGTGTCCCCTCCCCGCTCCTCTCCAGGGCACCAGCCTCTGTCTTGCTGTACTCTCCATCTGCAGCAACAATGTTTCATCATAGCAGGGATGCAGCTTGGCACCAGCACAGTTCATATCATGTTAATGGAATCCTGATGGGCTACAAAAAGCTCTTGGTTAATTTGTACAGCTGCATATACATCCTATACATGAGTTTACATCTTAATATAAATGGGATGACTGTTGAAGACCTGATGAAAGAGTGAGTAAGTATGGTTAATAGTAAATACTGAAAAGTATTTCAGTTATATCACTGTGTGTCTGCTTAATATGGGAGGAAAGGCCAAATTGATGCTGGTCGTTACAACTTTGAGAACAGGTATGGTTTTAACAAATTGAGACTCTTAATCTGTCAGATTGATGAAAGATGCTGTGATATTTTTAAATAAAGTTGTGTTTGTAAGCATCCTTGAAACGGATAAATTATGTTCAAGATTGTTCGATACAAAAAATGACATGATATTTTAATCCCTAATTGCTAAGATAAATAAAGTTGCTGTTATACAAACTCCCAAAAGTATGTAATTAATATATAACTAGATATAAGTATTTTCCTCAGTACAACTGATGTCAGAATGTTTTCTTTTTTTTGTCAGTAATAGAGGTGACAAGGTAACATTTTTTCAAAGAGAATTTGTTTAAATACATCCAACATTCATTTTATCTACTGTTGTAAGCCATAAGGCATTTCTTGCTATGTCCTTTGTGATCAATTTCACAGCAATATGATGCAAGATGTTCAGTTGTGATTACTTCCTCCCCACTAGGTATCAGTATAGAATTAAGTACATCGTTTGTTTAAAGATATATGTAATACTTACCGTATTTGTCTCCATTGGCAAACATGTGCACTCCTTTCAATTTTTCTTCAGGTCCATCATCGGCCTTTTTCTTGTCTTTTTTCTTTTCTGAAATTATAATCAAATATAATCAAACAACATAACTTAGTCGAAGTATTAAATGGTGTCTTTAAACAGTCTTTGAAAACAAATCTTCATCACATACCCCCTGGCATGACTGTCAAGTTGAAAATGAATCCTTCGTTGTCGCTTTGTTATTGAATGGGCGCAGCCATTTGTAATTGATTTCCATAGCAACACGATCTCGCGAGAATGTGAGAGAGATATTTCTTTTTAAAAAGAGACTACAATCTACTATACATACGTTATAAAATCGTTATGAAATGCATATTTATTACTCAAGTATGCTTAGTGGATGTTTATGAAACATAATTATCACAAAAGCAATACGTTGCATTTCTGTACGAATCTGCGGCGCACCTGACTTTGCCTATCAAGGTCATCTTGCTAAGGTCACCGATGTTGATACTATTTGTAATACGCACACTGTTATATCTTTGCAATCACCAAGCGCTGTATATTTTTAGACTTCGACAATTCTTTGTGTTGAGATGTGAACAACATGTGAAATAAATAATATGACACTAAGTAAAGGAAGAGAAGGACGTTTCGTGTTTTCAAGTAATATTTGTAACAAAAGGTGTTCATGGGAACAATCTCATCAGTATAAAATCTATTTTTTAGATTGATTTGAGAACTACAATCCCTGTGAGATCGGGAGCCATCGCTGTGTGCTAACGATGCAATTGAAAATTATTTCACTCACCCAAGCACTGGGGATATGCTTTATTGTGAGAAAAGATAACATTTTATTATCCAGAAGGAAATACGCGTTACATCATAAACTGTTAATGAAACATGGTACTAGCTGGTGTATATTGTCTTTAAAACAATTATTCAAGTTCATTTTCTAGCCGGGCGACTCAGGTGGGAACTTTTCAGGGGTATTGAAATATGTACGTTTCAAGAGGCGTAATTCATACTAGAATCAAGATGCGTACTTCACACTAGAACCACGATGTTAATATTTGACCAGGTATTTACGTGTGTATGTTTGGAGTGAGTGAGTTGGGTTTAACGCCGCTTTTAACAGTATTCCAGTTATATCTAGGCGTGTCAGCTTAATGTGGGAGGAAAGCCCGAAGTGATGCAGGTCTCAGACGTTTACCACTTCGGTGAAACCCACGAGCATGGGTATGGTGCTGAAAAACCTACAAACATAATTGGGGCGAACCGGGATTCGAACTCACAATCATAGGTTTCTGCTGACGCAACTCTGCACAGCGAATCGCGGTGCCTTAGACGACTGGGCCACCCGTGCCCCTGTATGTTTGGAGCATAGAGTGAGTGAGTATAGTTTTACGCCGCTTGTAGCAATATTCTAGCAATATCACGACGGGGAACGCCAGAAATGGGATTACGACTTTGTTTTATTTGTGTGTTGTTTAAGGCCGCAGTCAGCAATATTCCAGCTATATGATGGCGGTCTGTGAATAATCGAGTCTGGACCGGACAATCCAGTGCGAACCAAGGCCTTCGGTGTGACGAGCGAATGCTTAACCATATAGGTTACCTCCACCGCCCCTTGGAGCACAGAGCAACTATATATCTAATCACGGCTCTTGTACCATCACACCTCATACGTCATCAGTTGATGATGTTGATCATCTTTCAGATACAACAAATGCCTTACACAACAATAAATTTATTATTGGATATTCATCACAACTGTGAGGTGGGAGCATCTTATAATATTATATTTTTTAAACACTGTTCAAACTATCTGTGTACATTAACTGCCGACGGATGTGAGCTACGAGAAGTGTGAATTTTATGGTTCGAGTATATGTATTTCATCAAGCTACAAAAGAAGGGAACGCACTTAGCGATTTTACTTCTGGTAAACAATAAGCTCGAGGTGGGGGGTTGGTAGAGTTTTTATATTCTAAAAAATATATTTGATAATTAGACAATTTGAAATGACCTCAGTATGCTGTAAAAATACGGGAAAGGCCAAATGAAAATAAACAAGCAATTAACATGCTCCCAAACATTTATTTAAATTAACATTAATGGAGTAATTCGCTTCATTTAAAACGTAAATGTTTGTATAAACTAGTATCCAACTACGGTCGCAACTTCAGAAGACAATATCACTGTCTGAGTAACGATACGTACGGTTATAATATCATCTCCGTAGATATCTTCATATAGAGACTGGCTGTTGGAATGGTATACCACGTGAAGAAAGGACTTACCCGCTCTGTGATTCGCCAGGTATTGCACCATCAAAACCATTCATTCACTCTTTTCTGCTTTGTGAATGTGCGTATATATAAAGTAACATTTATTTTCTTCTTGAACAAATCTACCCATAAAAGTAAATACACACTCCACTTACATTGGTCAAAAGCCAAAATGTGTCAAATATTTAACGGCCATAATGAATTATTAGATTCCACCCTTATGTAGATCGATGATACTTAAATCTACGTAGATGATATCATGATCGTACTTATCGTTACTCAGACAGTGATACTGTCTTCTGAAGTTGACCAACTATAATAATATGAATATTAATCATCACCTTAAATTGGGAATTGTCCTGTGAAGAAATGTCCATGCGTGGAAATGTCTGGTCTCCGTGTTGAATGTATAGGGCGAGCCTATGATGAAACAATAAATTACATTAGTATGTTTAATCGAAGTTCATCACAGTTACTCGAATGAGAAGCACATGCTGCCATTCTAGCCAAAGAAAATGTTTGTGGATTTGGGTTGGTTTTTTTTGTTTCAGACAGAATATTATTTCAATCAGAGCTTCGGGATATAAATTTCTTTCGAACCATGACAGGTAATTGTTCATAATATGCAGCAGAATCAGTGAAGGATTTGTCCAGGACAGATTAAACGGAACCGATAAAAAGTAACACATAACCTCATATCATGACTTATATACATATAATATAGCATTGCATTTCGAATGTTGCTGGTATATATATTTTTTTCAGAGCCATGTTGATAATGCGGTGAAGATGCATTTTTGAAAAAGACTCCTTGATAGTGTTAAACAAAGCTTGTATTCTACACTACACACTTCTAATAAATGTTCCAAATGTGTGTTATATAAGACAATATTTTCATTGCTATTCTTTAACATTTGAGAATGCTTTTCACAAGATTTTGATGTAGTACTTTTATTCTTATGACAGAGACAGGAAGATACACTAATATGTCATACCATTTAAGACTATGTCCTCATTGTAGGCTAAATGACAAAATGTACATATAAGATGAAATTCATGTTTTACTTGTATGTGAGGGATATGCCTCTATTAGAAAAAAGTATACAAGTTAATGCATTAGAAATGACAGTGCAGTAAACATATTCATAAATAAAATGAACATGATACTCAAACAATAAATGATCTCTGTTTACATCTATTTAATGTGCAAAAAGTAAGCCTAAGACATGTGTTCAATACCACTTAATATACCTATCTACCAAGAATACTGCATATGATATGTGTGTCTTTGCTACATGTGTGAAGGCCAAATTGTCTGTGCATGCATTTGTCTGACTCACACAAAGAAAACTACTAATTACACATTTAAGTACTTTCTCCTAGTATATGCATATATTGTAGCAGTAAGAAAAGTAAATTCTATATTTTTGTATTTTGTCCATTTGTCTCTATATTGAATAAATTGTCTTGTTTTGTTGTCTTGTAGATGCACTAACGGTACAGGGTTTCTCAATCAGCAGTATGGAGTTAGTCGACACGAAAACATTACTTACCATCAGTATTCATCACTGACCTTGCCGGCAGAGGAGCCGACTGCTCCAACATAATGTTTCGTTCGACTGTCGTGGTCCGTGGCATTTTGCGACAGTCATCAGTCGGGAGATTGCGCACTTTACCGTCGAGATGTATATGTACAAAACTCGCACACCAGCATTTTGCCAGGTACATAAACTCACCATGCACAAATACTGTGCATACACATGCCAGAGTCAACTGTCAGTTCTCAAGAATATGTACATAACCGTAATTGATACTGTAGTTATCTTTTGGTCATTCTGACACATGTTATATGCAAAACAATGCATCCCCACAATGCTACATAAGGATATCATGTCCGAGTTTGTTCAGTTACTTTTCAAATAATATCTGACAGGACTAATTGCTTTAGTGTTTAGTTTTAGTGTCTCAGTTCTAAAAACAAATTAGACCATATGACGTTCATAACCTGCTCTTTGCAATGATATTGGGAATTAAACTGGAAAGTACATGATGTTTATTTTTATTTATTTGATTATTATTATTATTATTATTATTATTATTATTATTATTATTCAATGTATCACCCAATGCCGGATTCAAGTAAATCACTTACTCTGCTCAAAGTCTATGGTAATTGAAATCATGATTGACCCGGCCACTCGCTTCATGATATAATAGTATTAATACTCATTAAAGATTAACTTAGTTTCTTTAGTTTATGATGACATGAGCTACAGGTAAACTTATCAGTAACAGTTTTATCCATCAATTTTTGTGTTTACTAAAATTATTGTCGGATGGACAGTAAAAACTGTCAACATTAGCCCATGTAGAATCTAATCTAGACTGGCACGTTTAAATTTATCATACATTGTCTCAAATCAGGAAAATGTTATTAGTTGACCACTAATGATGCACACTGCAGTGACAGACATGGAAACAAAGTTGACTAACTTGTGTTTTCTGGTTGATTACTCATTAATTTGAAAGTGAGGAAGACATATTTTACTTGAAGATTAATTAGGGTACAGGTGCAGATAATGTACATTGCATCTTTGTTTTGCTTCTCCAGGTCCACCACATTGAAATCTGTAGGTCATCGGAGCACATTCAGGTCATGGCAGTCCAGGCGTCTCTACAGTTCAGGTAAGTTCAGCTTTAGTCTGTACTAGTACAAGCAGCCACACACCCGTGCATGCACATCGCTATATAAGTGCAATAATCTTGAACGCAAGGTTAAACCCAATTCCGACCGCCTCCGTGGTCTAGTGGTGGAGCGTTGGCCCTGAAAGCGGAAGGTCCGGGGTTCGATCCCCGACCGCGTTATACCAAAAGACGTTAAAAGATGGTACTTGTTGTTACCCTGTCTGGCGCTCGTCATTAAGGGGCTAAAACAAGTACTGGTCGGCTCGGAGTCAGTATACTGTGGCTGAGTGGGGTATTCATGTTAGACTGTGGCATGGTATCTCAGTGAGCTAGCACTATAAATCGGCATCAGTCCGGACTAGTACAAGCAGCCACACAAACACACACACGTACATGCATGTCGCTATATAAGTGCAATAATCCTGGACGCGACGTTAAACCCCATTTCACCTCACCTCACCTAAACCCAATTCCACCTCACCTAATGGAAACTGTGTGTGTGGCCGTAGATCTGCCGGACTGTTACAAGATAGTGCTGCCTGCCCTCTCCCCCACCATGGAGACTGGGACCATCATCAACTGGCAGAAGAAGGAGGGGGACAAGGTGTCTGATGGGGACCTCCTGGCTGAGATCGAGACTGACAAGGCTACCATGGGCTTCGAGTCAGTTGAGGAGGGATTCCTTGCAAAGATCATCATCTCTGCTGGCTCAAAGGATGTGCCCATTGGAAAGGTCTGTTTTAAGAAAATAATCACTTTCAGTTATACTTACATAGAAATGAAAAGTCATTTTGCAGTACTGTATATAAACAAACATATTCAGGAAAATAGGTGCACATTTTTCATTGATATCCTGAGGAAGGACTGAGAAACAGTGATTTTGGCATGTTTCTGTAGTGTCAAAGTATCAGGGGTCATCTGCACTATAAATAGCATTAAAGTTCATGGCATTGTGACACCTATAAGGGCAGGCTGGTGCATATCGTTTTACAAACTTACTTTTTGAGTGATAGGCAAATATTACTTGATGACATGATAAATCTTGAAAATTTGGGTTCAGTGGATCTGTCAATCAAGTAATTCTTTCACTGGTGATAATTCATGTGTTAAGTGTAACATGTTAAATTTGTTGATGTAATTTTTATCCTTTAGGTGAACGTTTGAAATAGTTTATATTATATAAATGAAGTAATACAAATAATTCATCACATATCAGCAATTTCCAACTCATGGTAATCTTGTCAGTTTTGATACTATTTCAGTTGGTGTGTATCATTGTGAATGAAGAATCAGATGTAGCAGCATTCAAGGACTACACCCCCCAGCCTGGCGATGACCAGCCCCCAGGGGGAGCCAAGGCTGCCTCACCCCCAGCAGCCGCAGCTCCAGCACCCTCCCCTGTGGCAGCTGCCCCTCCCCCTCCAGTAGCTGCTGCCCCTGTAGCTGCTCCTATAGCTGCTCCTGTAGCTGCCCCTAGTCCGGGGGGTAGAGTATTCGCAAGCCCTTATGCCAAGACGCTAGCAGCTGAGAAGGGGGTGAATCTTGGTGTGAGTAGACCTTGACCATGTTTGTTTGTTGTTGAAAGCTGCATTCAGAAATATTCCAGCTATATAATGGTGGTCAGTAAATAATAAAGCCTGAACTACTGTAGGGTTTTCAGAATTATCTCTTTACCAACTTGATTTCTCTATGCTCACATGTATTGGGTAAAATAGCTTTGTTATAACCATTTGAATTTGTAAAACTAATTTGTATGTTTTGTTACCATATTCGACGTAATAAGCGCCCAGGGCGCTCTCAAAATTAGAAATTTGGATTATGATTTCGGTGAAAGTACACAGAGTTGAAAGATCGTAAATTTCGTGGTTTATGCTGACATCCTGAAATGTTTATATACGACAGATATATTTTTCCAGAATTTAATTGCCCGTAATTATGAGCGCATATAACACACGAGTGTGTATTATACACGAATTTATAAGTCTTGTGTACATTAATCAATCGGAAGGGGTGCTAATTAGGATTGTTTACTAGCCAATATATTAACAAATATCGCTTATTAGAGGGGGGTGCTAATTACGGCGAATACGGTAATATCTCTTGACACCTAGACAGCAATTCTCATTCCCTGTTCTGATAATCTTGACTTAGTTCCATAACAAGTGGTCTTCATCTGTTTGTTTCTGTAGGTGGTCAGTGGTAGTGGCCCTGATGGTCAGGTTCGAGCCCAGGACGTGCTGTCCTTCACCCCAAGTGCTGCTCCCCTCGCTGCCCCAGCAGTTCCGGGGGCCGCCTTCACAGACATCCCACTCTCCAATGTCAGACAGGTAGGTAACCAGAGACAGCAAATCCATGATGTGTTTATAGGGGAGGAGGGGTGTGGCGGGGATCCAAAATTTAAATTTTAAACTTCTGTGTGTATGGTGTGTCTGTATTTCAAGGTATTAGGTTGGGTGGGGGACGGGGTCATGACCTAGTGGTCGATGTGTGATTAAACATGCTCTGCAGACTAAACACCTTGAAGGAAAACAGTCTACTTATTTAGTCTGTTTAATATTCAGAATGTTTACGTCATAGTTAAATGTTACAAGTAGTGATAAAAAAATACATGTCTTTCACAAGGAAACTAATTTTGTAATTGACATTTTTGGGTTTATTGTATGTTTATTTGTACTGGGGTTATGTCAAACACGATGTAAACTGTCACAGCTATATCAATAATGACAGTAGGTCTTTGTCAGTTGTTGAAGTTTGATGGGTATGGTTACAGCGTATACAGAGACTTCAGTTTTAACTTATGTATATTTTGTTATGTCCAGGTTATTGCAAAGAGACTGACCCAGTCAAAGCAGACCATCCCCCACTACTATCTCACAATAGATGTCAATGTGGACCGAGTGCTCAGGTAGGGGACCTTGGCTGTGGTTGAGAATACAACTTACATGTTGTCTCGTACAAGCTATCTACAAAGTAAACTCGTAAATTTTGAATATTTTGACAGGAGCATCGTTGTTTTCATAACTTACTGTGTCAGTATTGCGAGCTTGTAAGAAGGAAAAACAAATCCATATGCAGTGTTACTTCCCTTCTTTACATATCCTTTTGGCAAGGAACAGCAAGGATGTCTTTGTGGAATGGGGAAGTTCATCAATTATTATTCTAGAGTAGGGTAACAAATGTTGAGGCTGTTGAATGAATATAATAACCTGAACAATAAATGTAGACATCCTCTTGCCTGAAAATGCAGATGCTTAAAAGTGATGTTGTTGAGGTAAAAGTGGTTAAAGCATTCCTCATCATACTAAAGACCTGGGTTCGATTCCCCACGTGGGTACAAATGTGAAGCCCATTTATGAGATCACCAGCCATGATATTGCTGGGTTATTGAGAAAAGAGGCATTAAACCTTAATCATCACTCACTCACTCACTTACTCTGACAGAGAAGTTGGAAGCAGTTTTTTGTATCATCCGAAAGCTGACTCTGGTTATTTGCTTCACCTGCTGAAACCAACCATGTATAGAAATATGACAAAACGTGAGAAAGTTTTGTTCAGGCGAGCTTAACCTCAAACTCACCCACTTTGGAAATTTACTAAAAGGCCACCATTGTGATTGGTTGGTCACCTTAGCACTGCTTCTCTTGGACAGAGGCTTATTTTCATGCTAACTCGCATCCCATAAACACCAGTTATTGGTTATGTGTGAACCTTGTGTAACATGCAACTGATAGTTGTGGAAATAAGCTCTTCCAAAATGTTGAAAGGACATCCGTAGCTAATCTTATGTTAATCATGCAAGTTTGTTATTTCAGTCTGCGCAGAGATTTCAATGAATCTCTTGCCAAGCAGAATGTGAAACTGTCCGTGAATGACTTCATCATCAAAGCCTCAGCTCTTGCCTGCCAGAAGGTCCCCGAGGCCAACTCTTCATGGCAGGACACTTTCATTAGGCAGTAAGTCGATGAATATAACAGCTGGTGATATAACGTTGTTATCCTACTAGTAATGAAGCCCCTCTCTCACAGGATGCTACTGCCCCCGTGATCTTGTGGACAGAGCATCTGAGCGGAAAGTTGGTAGTTCGATCCCAGGTTGAGCCATACCAAGAGACGTTAAAAGATGGTACTTGCTTGGCTCTTGTCATTAAAGGGATAAAATGACGGGTCAGCTGAGAGTTGGTATGCTGTATCTGAGTGGGGTCTCCAAGACAATGTACCATTATCTGATCATGGTAGCTAAAATGGCTTCATTCGTTGAAAAGCAAATTAGAAATTGTAACATGTTAATGATATATTTTTGGTTACCTGAAGAGATGTCCTGACAGGATGATTTAGAAAGTAGTTTTGATTTGATCATTAGATTACTTTTGTTCAAAGGAAAGTGATTTACTTCTATTTCAGATACAATTCAGTTGATGTGAACATAGCAGTAGCAACAGACAATGGCTTGATAACACCGATAGTGTTTAGAGCTGACGTCAAGGTGAGGATCAGGTTTAATATACCTAAGGCATTCATTGTTTAGAACACCTACGAATCATGTGTGAACAGGGATGCACAATATACTATTCAAGGGACTTTAAATTTCTAGTATTACATTTTTAGGTCAGGTTTAGCAAAATATGGATAATGTATACATGTACTAGTTTGCATGCTGCTTGTGTTCCTCTGTTATCCCCACTTGCTTGTTGTTGTAGATTGTGATATGTATGTTGATGTTTTTGCAGGGTTTATCACAGATTTGTCAAGATGTGGCGGTGCTAGCAGCTAAGGCGAGGGAGGGACGGCTACAGCCACAGGAGTTTCAGGTATACTGTCACATCGTGGTCAGGATAGCAGTCTCACATTGCTCACATGCTTGTTGCATTAACATTCAAGTGTGGAACATTGGCTTTAGTATTGAGGCACTTGCATATATTTAAAAGCGTGCTCAACAACCTACTAAATCAACTGGATAAGAGCGTCTTCTTGTTTAACATACAGGAAGTTATGTATATTTTATTGTAATCAGTATGTCAAACATATCCTTTTGGGAACAAGTGAGTCATGTGTATACAATGAGAAGTCATCAATCATTATCTTGCTGAGCTGGTAAGTTTGTCTCCTTTACCTAGCCTTTGCATGTAATGGATAAGGGAGATAATTCATGGTTCCTTACCGGCGCATGTTCCTTTCTGAGACTACCGGTAGATGTATTATTCAAGGCTGCTGTATATATCCTGTCAACCATGTTAAAATACAAGGAATGATTGTGTTTGCAGCTTTTTTGGTCTCATTTTCATGCTTTCGTGTAATATCCCTATTGGGATCAAATTGATATTTTTAACAGATTTTCTGTATTTTTTTTTGTGTGAATTGTCCTACATTGTAGAATTCAGTGCAGATCAATTGTCTTTCATTGCAGGGTGGTACTTTCACAATTTCAAACTTAGGCATGTTCGGCATCAAACACTTCTCAGCGGTCATCAACCCTCCCCAGGTATGTCACACAACAGGTGGGGTTTGTCACAGGATCATGTCTTCAAGGGGCGGTTGGGTATCCTAGTGGTTAAAGTGTTCACTCGTCTTGCCAAAGACCTAAGTTCGATTCCCCACATCGCTACAATGAGTGGAGCCCATTTCTGGTGTCCCCCGCCATGATATTGCTGGAATATTGCTAAAAGAGGCGTAAAAACATACTCACACATGTCTTCAAATTTGCGGAGATTCACAAGATGAATTAATCAGTTGTTGTTATGCAATGCTAGCATATGAACTGGGTTAGTTGGCTTCAATATGTGACTTGGGTAATTGAGTGCCCTTAAACCCAGAACGCATGGATCGTTGCTCATGCAGTCTACCGCAGATTGTTTATTAACATATGTATTGGAGAACATATGTTTTACCATAAGCATGCATCTTTGGGGTTGACATACGTAGATATATTGCTCAGTGAAAGTGACCCCATCATGATATTGCAGGAATATTTCTTAACAGTGGCTAAAACTCTACTCACTCACTCATTCCCCCATTGGGATTGGGGGTTAGAATTGGTTCCCAGCAACCCAGGCTATCAAATGGATCAGGTGGTCAGGGTTGGTGATTTGGTTGATTGTGCATCATTGTACCCTGACATGGATCGTTGCTCACAATATCTATCACTGGGTCAGATATGATTGTTTGCAGGTCGCCGTAATATGACTGGGATATTGGTGCGTGCGGCGTTAATAAAAAAAACCACTCTCTCATGCTCCATACCACAATGAAAATATTGTTCAAAGTTGAAGTCCGCCAGTTTATTTGATGTATTGACCTCAATGTAACAGACTGAAAAATTGACATGGTTCATGTGATATTGCGTGTACCAGAGATTCATCCCCTGCACCAATGCCTGTATTAAGGGCCAACTAAAATGAGGATCAGGTTATCTCAGTGTGTGATCAGACATTGGTTATGATGTGTCACTGAAAACCTGGCAGCATGGATTGTTGTTGCTCATACTGCCCACCACTGGTGTGTCTGGCCCGGACTTGATTAATCACAGGCCGATGTATGCTACCTGTTCTGGTAATATAGCTGACGTCATTCACCCACCTGACCCTGTGAAGATCTGGGGTAGAATAGGTCTTCAGCAACCCATGCTTGCCGTAAAAGGCGACTATGCTTGTCGTAAAAGGCGACTAACGGGATCGGGTGGTCAGACTGACTTAGTTGATGCATGTCATCTATCCCATTTGCACGGATCGATGCTCATGATATCAGTCACTGGATTGTCTGGTCCAGACTCGATTATTTACAGACCGCAGTCATATAGCTGGAATAGTGCTGAGTACAGCGTTAAACAACAAACCAACCAACCATTCACCCACCTACATATATGAAATCAAGATGTTATGAATTACATGTTCAGAAGGGATTTTCCAGCTGAATGTGATTGTACCCCATGAAAGGGAAGAAATCCTGTACACCATGCTATTGACACCTGTAATACATTTATCATTACAAGTTAACAATTACTTCAGTGAAATATTTGTGACGATAAAATTCTTGCGACCGCTATCAGACTCTCCGTATAATAACTGAAAGAGCAAATTGATCAAAGATCAAAGATTATGACATCATGATTCTGTACAGGCTGGAGAGCAAACCTGTCTATTTTCTTTGTGTTCCTGATCAAATAGCGAAGTTCTTTGACAAGTAGCCTAATGATAATGATGGATTGTGTTACGGATGTGATGGAACATTTAACATGTATATGTTGTTTCAGGCATGTATACTAGCTGTTGGTGGAGCGGACAAAAGATTGATTGTGGATGAAAACTCAGATCAGGGGTAAGTCTGTTCTGGAGTTAATCTCTTGGTGCAATATTGGTAGTAATGGTGACGTTTGTGAGGAACACATGGATAACAAGTTACACTGAATACAATGCAAGGTCTGTTTTATTTCCATACGTTACTCAAAATTTAGCATTTATTTAAGCACATTGTTTCTAAAATATGGAAGAACATGTGGTTCATATCATGTACTAGCAGTGTTTGAAATAATATTAAAACCCAACAAGACAGTCAGGCAGGTGACCCATAAGTGTTGTCTCCCCATCTTCCAAGTAACCTGCCCGCATTCAGATGTTTATGAATATTGAAAAATCCCCCCCAAAACCAGTCAAATCTCACCTTGATTCAGTTGAAATAATGCAAACAATTACTTGAGAGTTATGATAAAACTGAATATGTCAGTAGTCTTTACATTATCTGTCAGACAGTCGTGGAGGTAGAGTAATTTCATGCAACCCTACTGAAAAGTTACCAGTTACAAGCAGCCGGAGAGGCAATTATATGGACACTGTACTAGTCATGTACTCAAGGGACAGTCATATACAGAAAGATGAAATAGATGTATATGAGAACCAGTCAAATTTGTCATTTCCATAACCGGTCAGTTACATGTGACGAATATAGAGGTTAATTTACTGTTAATGATTTCACATTAAATCTGTGACTTGTGTATTTCAGGTACCGATCAGCCAACATGATGTCTGTGACTTTGAGCTGTGACCATCGTGTTGTGGATGGCGCTGTAGGAGCACAGTGGTTGGCCGAGTTCCGGAAGCTGCTGGAACGCCCAGAGAACATGCTGTTATAGCACAACACAAACGTAGTGATCTGAACAAATGTCAAAGTGCTATATAAAATGGAAGAGAAGCCACCTGGCTCAGAAAGTGGTGGGATGCTTTACCATGACATCAATGCAATTAGGAACAGTGAATCCAATAAAATGTTAATTTAACAGTATTGATCATGAGAAAGAACACATGCAATTTACAGTAGCAGCTGAATTGATTACAGAGCTGAGGAAACTCAACTTAATATTACCAAAATAAGATAAACGCCCAGTAACTGATAATAAAATTTCATAAAAGTAGATCTGAGGTTATTATGCTTCTCAGCCTGGCTAATTCTATACCAATAAGCTGTGATGGCTGTGTAATGTCACAAGTATTTGAATGTATTGAGTTCACTGCCAGCATCCACCACTGTCTCGAGCGAGCTGTGGTTGTCCGAGGTGTTTTCATTGAGTGAACCAAGGTATAGATGCAATGAATGGAGCACTCCACTGGGGTAGGTGAACGCCTTGTTAATGTTGTTTGTTATTGCTTGGCTCTATATGCTTGTTACTAACAGCTCATTTGAATCTGGTATATACAAATATGATTTCCGTGAGATTATAGCAGCATATTAAGTCTGAAGGAAATTATGCATTTTTTTGTGGGCTTTCTTTCTCCTTTCCCAGTGATTCATAGTACAGTTCGGTGCTGTATTAGTATGTCTCTTTATTTCTTGGTCATTCCGACCCAACAAGTGTACATCGTCCCAGTGAAACCTCACATTCAGATCTCGACTCAAAGGAGCGGCGTCAGTTAGCAGATGGTGTTTGTATACTGAGACTACTTATAGATTGTGATTCTGATGTATCCCAGGCATGTGAAGTATTTATGTCCCCGTATTCACCCCTGCTAACACATCACATATCACTGATACCAACTACAATAATGTCTGTATTGACAACCAGTCTCATTAAATACAGATCTTTTACTGGGATCTGTGAAAGATTTGGCCCCATTCCACAAAGCAATGTTAGTGCCAAGATGATGATACTCCCTTAGCTTTACATGGACTTCCTCATGGGTGCAGTGTTTCAAGCCCTATTTGGTGTCCCTTGCTGGGATGTTGCTGGGATATTGCTAAAATAGGAGTAAATCCGTAGTCAGAGCACTATTATCACTTCTTGGAAGGGGCCTGTGTTTATCGAGACTATTGACATCCCTATGTATAACTACCATCCAGATAGTAATCTATGCTTGAATACGCAGAAAGTGCATTTATGAGTTATGCTGGAGTTATGGCCTGTTTCCATGCCTCAACATCACATAAGTGGACAAGGCTGGGCTATGGCAGGTGCTTGTTTCTGTTGGGCGTGAGGTGTGGAATGGCTGTAGCTGTAGCATCTCGGGCTGAATCCAGGCGGCAGGAGTGCTCCATAATGTAGGCTACAGGTGTTGAGTGATGTTACTGTACATACTGGTGAGGTCCCACACTGTCAGCTACAGTCCACTGGGTTATGTAACATGTGAGATTTAATTATGTGTACATTTAAATCAGAATTAAAATGTTTTAAGTATTGGAATGTTTTGTTTCATCTGTTTGTTTCTTGAGGTACACATAACCGAGGTCTGCTGCAAATGCAGTTTAAATAAATATTTCATGTAGGTTGTTGCTGAGAACTCAAATGACAATATTTCAAGGGCAAAATTTTACACAAGGCCAACAGGTGCTCTGGTCATCTGAAGCTCCAATATTCAGTGTGCAAGATTGCACCCCTTAGTCTCCACAGGATCCGCTGGTTGTGGAATTGTCAAAGGGTCCACGCTGATGCATTGTTTTACCACAGTGGTACACATTTATTACCTGCGTCACATTTGGCTTTCCTCCCCAAAGTAAGCGGACACACATTGACATAACTGTAATAAGAATAACCCGGCTTAACTCGAATAGTGAAGCTCTCTTGGTGCCTATCAGTAGTCCAAGAATGGTCCACGTTTTTTTGCCTTTTTCACTTTGGTGTTTTGAAACTATTCAACCGCCTCCTTGGTCCAGTGGTAGAGCGTCTGCCCGGAGAGCGAGAGCGACATACCAAAATACGTCAAAAGATGGTACTTATTTTTACCCTGTCTGGCGCTCGACTTTAAGAGGCTAAAACAAGGACTAGTCGGCTCGGAGTCAGTATACTCTGCCTGACTGGATTATTCATGTTATACTGCAGCATGGTATCTCAGTGGACTAGCACTATAAATCAACATCAGACCGGACTAGTACAGGCAGCCACACACGTTCATGCACATCGCTATATTAGTGCAATAATCGTGGCTCGCTGACTTGGTTGATGCATGTCATCGTATCCCAATTGCGTGGATTGATGCTCATGATGGCAATCAATGGATTGTGTGGTCCAGACTCGATTATTTACAGACCGCCGTAATATAGCTGGAATATTGCTAATTGCGGCGTTAAACAACAAATAAACAAAGCAATAATCTAAGCAATTTATTTTATGAGTTATCTTTTTAAATAAAACAACACCTTTTGATTCATTTGGCATATGCAGTCATCTTGTCTTGCGCCAGAGACAGAACGCGTACCTTTCTGATGACAAAGTCTTATAATGCGCCGTAATTCGCTGTGAAAAGTTGTGTCCTCGAGTCGTGACAGAAGCCTACGATCGCGGGTTCGAATCCAGACTTCGCCAGGATAATGAGTGTACGATGTGATTGATATCTTGGCAGTATCTGACTGATTGTACGCGACTAACATACTTTTTCAGCAATGAGACCAACTCTTTCTCTCCCAAAGTTTGTCAAACTCGACAAACTATTTGTTTTCGTAATAATCACACATACAAACTTATGTTTGTAAACATAAATCGGCAAACGTTTGTATGAATCCCGCGTATGGCGTGAATCGATTTGGAATTTCCTCCCACAGATTGCGCACAGAGCGTTAAACGCAACTCGCTCCCTCTTGTTCGAAACGCTGACGTGTAGACTAATGAATGTGACAACTGTTTAACGCCAGTACACAGATACTGACGCACACGCATAAAGGAGACACACAGGATACTCTCCATCATATTCTTGACACACATATATGGGAAGTGTTAACCACTGAATTACTGAGCATATATCAAATGAATATATCAGTTCGACTTGATTTTACTCGAAAGTTCGAAAGCATTCGTCCACACCATCTTTCTATGACTCAAAAGATCAGACAGAAGGAAATAGAGGGTTTGGCATATATGAAATAGTCAATTACGCTGGCTGTTCTTACCATTACACCCAATACTTGTCTGAAGACAAACAGCTTAACTTACTGATTCGATACGATTGTGTTCGCCATTACTTCTGTACCTTTTCCAGTAGAGGAAGTAAGGAGACAACGTGATGCAGATAACGATGAAGATTGTATTGTATTGTTTGTTATTTAACGCCGTACTCAGCAATATTCCAGCTATATGACGGCGATCTGTAAATAATCGAGTCTGGACCAGACGATCCAGTGGTTGACATCATGAGCATAGATCCACGCAATTGGGATACGATGACATGCATCAACCAAGTCAGCGAGCTTGACCACCCGATCCCGCTAGTCGCCTTTTACTGCAAGCATGGGTTGCTGAAGACCTATTCTACCCCGGATCTTCGATGGGTTGATGAAGATGAAGGCGCTGTAGTGTTGCATCTTTTGTTTGTATTGTGTTTGTATCAGATGGTGATGAGATTTCGGCAAATATAAACTGTTTTCCACTAATCGTACACGATTCAAATAGGTGGCGTAGAAGTGCTTTAAACACGAAAAATGTACTGTATGTCTTCGGTAACTCTTGGAATTCCTCATTAATTCCTATTGGTTTGCGCTTCTTTGACGTAAAGGGAGATCCAATTTCTAGCAAGTGCCAGGACAAGATTCCAACCTTAGTTCATTGTAAAGACGTATCTCATGAGCAGCCTCTGAAAGTTTCAAAACCATATGTCTAATTGGGTTTGACGTACGCCTGCTGGTTTATCTCTTTGACGTAATGTAGTTGTTGACTGCCCATGCCGGTGTATTTCGTGCATGGCGGTACGAGCTAATGATGTGATTATTCTTTTGCCCATTGTACCGACTCAGAGTAATGAAATAAATCGAATCAAGTAGTTTCTCACAATAAGATTATCAATACTGTGAAATATTTGAGCTAAATTACGTGTATTGTTGATTATATTACAAAGCAGTATATCCAGATTTGATGTAATATGTTCCAACATGATTAGTGTGAAGTCTCAACTATCTGTACCTCGTAGTTATTGATTAGACTCGAATCAGCAGTCTGACACGACTTTACGTCTTAGAAATTGACCAAAATTCGGGACTACTATTAACCAATATTTTGTTTTGTAGCTCAAAACATGCGAATAATTCTGACAGTTTCCCACGGTATGGTCCCAGTGACTGTGGGTTTCTCCAAGTTGTAAACGTCAAATATTTGCATCACTTAGGGTTTCCATCTTACAATAAGCTGACACGCAGTAATTAACTGAAATACTGTTGAAAGCGGCGTTAAATACAGTTCACTCACCCTTCCCCTCCACATGTATGACATATAAACACAAACGGACGGATTGCCACCAAGTCGTCGCCAAGCTCTATCTACTGTTGCTAGCAGGATGTACCGCTGACGTCATGGCGTCTTTCCGTAGGAGTCTTTGGGCTGATTCGATCTTCATGCCTGCCTCCATCATCGGAAAGCCATGCAGAGTCAGCAAAATTTGATCTATATCCCAGGAGCCCGTAAGTCGCCAAGTCTGCATGCGCTATACAAGTTGATGTTAAATATGAGTAACACCCTATGCACGATGACGCTCACTCAATCAAGAGCCTGACCACCCGATCCAGTTTAGTCGACAAGCAGTGAATGGGGACCTATAAGTATTGTATTGTCTATGTAATGATTAGACAAAAAAGAACTGGCAAATTAAAAAACACACACATTAATTTGTTTCCGAAAGAAAACTGGGAAAAATATCTAATTTATTGGACATGCTGGAGTTTTTAAAAGAAATTTGAAAAATATTAAATTGCTCTGACATACCCTTAACAGAAACGAATTGCTTTTACCGAAAAATGAAAATAAATTCTGTCTCTTACAAGAACCCCAACTACCAACCCAACTAGCGCTGCATTAAAAGAGTGCGTGAGTATGGTTTTACGCCGCTTTTAGCAATATTCCAGCAATACCACGACGGGGGACACCAGAAATGAAGCAAGGGCAAGAGCTAAACGTAGAACGAGAGACACCTGGTTCGAGGGGCACTATACAAGGTATTGGTATTGCCCGCATTTAGAACATGAAAAGATGTAACAGACAACAGTATGTTGGAAGTTGCATATGTCAGACCAGTGGTCGATAGCATGAGAGATGGCCGGGATAGAATGCCACACAGTTTGACAGATCAGATGTGATCACCCAATCACCGTTTGATAGACATTTCTTAGACGTTAATGGATGACAAAGTGGACAATTTATGGATAACAACTTGAAGTATATTACAGAAGATGTCCATACATTGTGTCTACTTTGTCGTTTAGAATCTTGTGGTAACTATGGCAACTAAAACAGTAACAAAGAACAGGCGTGTCGGTAATTGCACGTTAATTAGTGGAAAAAGACAGAAAACTGTTTATTTTATTTCTATCAAACAATCAGCATGACCTTTCTTGGTTAGATGCCTTGGTTGTGTCATAAAATGCCACACGTAGATGATGCCTGGTCTATCGAGAACGGTCCTTGTCAATATTTCAGTGTGATTCCACTAAGACTATAGGCTACCCAACTATCTAACATTTCCGGTTCAACAATTATTGTGATGAAGAACGAAAACATCCTGAATTATACAGTGAGTTGTAACACGATACGCCTTGATATCCGCTGTGTGCAATGTTGCATCCAGTAACACGATGAACATGGGTGAAAAAAAAGAATTTGGTGGAAATTTTTTTTCCCCTAAAACTAGCGTATTTCCTCTATTAGACGCCCGGGCTTCTATTTATTTCGGACAAGGGGCGGTCGGGTAGCCTAGTGGTTAAAGCGTTGGCTCGTCACGCCGAAGACCCGGGTTCGATTCCCGACATGGGTACAATGTGTGAAGCCCATTTCTGGTGTCCCCCGCCGTGATATTGCTGGAATATTGCTAAAAGTGGCGTAAAACCATACTCACTCACTCACTCACTATTTCGGACAAGCCTTTGACCCGGCGTCAATTAGAGGCCCGGCGTCTATTGGAGGCCCGGCTTCTATTAATACCCCCATTTCACTATGACCACGAATGTCCCAAATCGTCACGAAATGGAAAAAAGGATCATTAATTGTATCAATTGATCGACCCGGCGTCTATTAGAGGTCCGGCTTCTATTTTTTGCACTGAAAATTGACCCGGCTTCTATTAGAGGCCGGCGTCTTTTAGAGGCCAGGCGTCTAATAGAGGAAATACGGCATGTTCTCTGGTCACGCTGGTGTTCTGAAAGTTTGTGTGACTTCTCTTGTCACGCTCTTTTACCCCAACAGATTGTCACAGAGTTTGGCTTGT